GGGGTGTGAAGAGGCCACTTCGGGTAAAAGTAAGAAAGGCCTATAGGACCTAACAAAGAGGGTTTACCACGTGCTCTTTACTTGACCTAACTCCATCGATTGGCCCTTAGCCCCATTTTGCTATTGATGAAACTAGGCCTAAGGATTTAGGCAGCATGTCCAAGGTCACAGGGGAAGTGATAGAGGCAGTATCAGCCCTCTGCTGACTTTGCAAAAACCCCAGGACCCTATAGCTGTGGCCTTGGCCAAGTCACCTAACCATAAGGTGCGGATAATGTCCCATAGTCTTCTCGGGGTTATTGTGAAAAACAAATGAGAGCTAATGAACACGAACCATGATGCACTCAACAGATACTCAGTGCAAGCTTCTCAACAAAGGAGACCCTCTGCCTTTACTTACTTGGCACCATGCTCCTGAGGTGTCCATGTGCCCCACCCAGGCACAGAGACTGGGAGACAAAGGACTTCTCAGGCCTGAATGACCACTTAGCGCCACCTAGTGGTCCATGGTGTGTGGTGCTTGGGAAGCAGGAGGGCCTGGCTGCTTTGGGATTGGAGGGTCTGAGCATGACCACGGGCCCTGTGCAGGTGGGCAAAATATGCCGGAACCTCAGGAAGGATGAGGTCATGCCTAGCTAAGCCCTCCCCTGGCCACCCCACTGAGGGAAGGGTGAAGGTGGACACTCCACCCGTCTGCCATCTCAGCCCCTCGAGGTCCCCTCCCCACATCTTACTCCTTTTGGACAACTCTGGGAAGACCAAGGGGAGGGCACAGGGTTCTAGTTCCAGCTCTGCCACTACCTAGCTCCCCAGGCATCAGCTACCTTCTCTGCAAAATCGGAGTAAACATCCTGCACCTCTGGGGACCTGGCACTGTCCTGGTGTTCTTTCATTTCTCAGACATTTTATGAAGTGTCATCTTTCTAAACTCATCATGCTGAGTGCTGTGTGGACACAAAGACTTCGAAGCCAGGTCTCTTGATACCAAGAGATCCATCTCATTCTGTGGGAGACATACTTGTAAATTGCTCGTTACCCTCTGAGGCAGATCACAACCAGCACTGAGGAGGGAGCACTAAAGTGAGGGAGACAAATGGGGGCCAGCAGGAAGTGGGACCCACAGGTGCCTCTTGCCCCCAGAAGGGCTCTCACCCCGTGCCGAGCCCCCTCTGGGATAGGCCTGCCTCCCCCAACTCCCATCTCCTCTTGCTTTAAAGTGGACCATCGAGCTCCATCTTTCACACCTCTGAGCCTTTGTTCTAGGTACACAGTTTCCTTTTCCTAAATGCCTTTCTTCAACTTTTCCACCTGACAAACATCTCCAGCCGTCCTCCTGGAGAGTGGAGGGGAGAGTGGGAAATCCCTGCGACTAAGCAACTAGGGAGGAAACAGAAGTCAAGGTGCCCCAAGCAGTGGCACAGATACCCCCATCATCAGGGACAGCGTGCTCAGGCAGGTGGCAGGCCTGTACGGTCCCCTAACTGCAGGCTCTCTGCATTCTTTCATTCCTCTATTCATTCCCTGCTGTCTGCCTGCCCCATTCCATGTGCTGGGCTGGGCGCTGGGGCTGCAAGAGGCAGAGACTCAATCCTTTTCTGAGGAGCTTTCTGAAGCAGGAGAGCAACCCACAGCCAAGGACAACACAATGTATGTGCTCAGAGGCAGGAACTGACCGTTCTGCCTAGAACGGGGCAGGGGTAGATCCTAGGGAACAGAGGAGGTGATGTCTGAGGCGAGTCATGTAGCAAAGTTAGGGAGGTGTGAAGGGGGAGGCATCCACCTTAGAGCCCCTTTCTCTGACCATACTCTAAGTGGGCTCTCCCCCCACTGCAGGCACTCTCTATTATTGATTATTTAGCACTTGTCACAGTTTGAGGTTGTCTTCTTATCTGCTTCGTTCTTTATAGTCGGTCTCCCACCCTTCACTATAAGTGTCAGGAAGCAAGGCCGTGTCGCTCTGGTTCACTGTGGGGTCTCCAGGGTCTAGCCTGGCACCTGGCCTATTAGAGGCACTCAATAAATATTTGTGGCGTGAATGAATGAATGAATGAATGAATGAACAAATGAACAGAAAGGATGGGCGGGAAGTCTCCTGTATCCCAGTATGACGGGATGATTACTGGGTATATTTTCTCCTTTGTTCTGCCCGTGCTTAACCATATTCATTTCAGCTGCCCACGTATTCTAAGTGGGGTCACAAGAACTTTGTGCTCCTTTGCCTCAAATCTAGAAGCTGCCTGAGGACACACTCTTCTGACTTTTGCTTCCTAAATCCAATTCCTTGAGGGGACTATGCTGGGGAGAAGGAGAGGCAGAGAGAGGAGGGTCCCCAAGACTGGGGAGGGGCGAGCAATCAGAACATCCTCTGGGAGCACCACAGGGAGGTGGCAGGTCCCAGAGGTCATGGTGTGAGGCCCCTGGAGAGGCTACAGCTCTCAGAAAGACCTTCCCCTACCTCCACCACGCCCTTGGCCTGAGTAGAGTTAAGTCCTGTGGATGCTGGTCATTGCGGGTGTCAGCAGCCACCATGAGGCCCTGGAGATGAGAGGCCTGCTCCTGCAAGCCCTACTCCCTGCCTGTATGACCCTGGGGGTGGGGAGCCCCAATTCTGACTGAGATGGGGTTTCCCTACACCCTCAGGGGTACAGGTTCGAAATTAGATTGAATTAGATGCCAAGAAAATACAGAACTGTGAGGTTTCTTGAGCATCTCCCTCCCAAGACAATCCACTGTCATGATCTGGCCTGAGGAGCGGGCATGTCTGGAGCTCCCCCTCATAGGCCTTCCCCCAGGGGCCTTCTGGAGAGCACCTTCTCAATGAGAAGGGATTGCTAAGGACATGGTGTTCTCGGGCCCAGGTGGTCTCATGAGGAAGACATCTTTAAGCAGGGCAAGTCCATATGAGACAGAGAAAGTTGAAATCAGTCCTTGGGTGAGGGGAAAGGTCTCGGGGTGGTGGGGAGGCCTCAGCAGTGTGTGTTGAGGGTTGGCTCAGAGAGGAGAGATCCAAGAGGGACCCTCAGATGTCCTCAACAGCCTGGCTCTGGGAGATGATGGGAGATTCACCTCCCGGCAGAAGCCCTGGTCCCTCTTGCACCTTGGTGGCACATCCAGCCTCTTGCCAGTGGCTGCAGGACCTGTGCGGGACACCAAGCCCAGCCAGCCACATACCTGCCTTTATGTCTGGGCTGAGTGATGTGAGGAGGCAGAATAGTGGCCTGGTGGCCATGCTCCTCAGTGTCCAGGGGTGACCACAGAGGTCCTCCTGGCCAGCTGCTCCCAGCTCCACTCCTGCCAGTGGTTCTAGCCTCCCTGGTTCCCACTCGTTTCCAAGCCTGGGTTTCTGGGCTTCATAGCAGTTTCTGCGAGCTAGCCTTCCATTACCTTCCATTCCTGTTTAAGTTAGCCTGAGCCAGTTTTTCCTGTTTCCACCCAAGAACCCCAAAGGGTGCAGAGCTGCTAGAAAACACAAGACACTGCTGAACTGGATGGTCCCCAAACTCTGTGTTAAGTGGAAGGAGTGAAAAACACAAGGTACAACCAGGCTGTAAGCCCCCTGAGGGCGGAGGCCCTGTGTGCTCACAGCTGGACCCGGGAGGAGGGCTGTGTCCTATCGGCAGATTTGGAACACCCTGACCCTTGAATAGCTCCACACTGAAAGTCCCCCATGGCTGCCCACTTGTTGGGGGTCACCCTAGGGGGCTTGGCTTCTGCTCTTAAGAGTATCTTCTGTTTGGGGCAGAGAACAGGGTTGATGCCACAGAAAAACAATTGACTCCTCAAGATCAGGAAGGGTGGTGACAGGAGCCAGACAGGCAGGTGTCCTCCAGTGTCCAGGGGCCAGGCTGGCACCCCTCTGAGCCTCTACATCTTGTCTGCTAAAGGAGCTAAGGTAGGAACCGGACAGGGATGCTCTACAGACATCATGGTGATGATCATTAGTAATCATAAATGTTACTAACAGCTACTGATCGAGTTCCTGCTGTGTGGCTGGCCTTTCTCCCAACAACCCTATGTGAAAGGAAGTTATCACCTGCACTTTATCAGTGAGGAAATCCTCTCAGAGACATGATATAACATGCCTAAAGTCACAAAGCTGGCGAGTGGCAAAATCAGGATGGAAAGCCAGGTCTATGTCCTGAACTTTGATCACCAGTCACATTCTCCACAGGCTGTAGCCCTACCTCCTCCGCGAAGCCCACATTGAAAGTCTGAGGCCCCATAGCGCCTCGAACCACCACAGCACTGAGCCCCTGTGTCAATGGTCTCCATCACTTAACCAGACACTCCCTGAGCACCCAATCTGCTCACTGGGGCCCCTCCTGGCTTTGGGAAGACAAGGATAAACACCTTCAAGCACCCAAATTCCATGTCCTCCAGCAACCAGCATGGCTTTATTATTCTCGACTCCTCCCACCACTGGGGATTTTACGCTTAAGTAGATTGCTCTCTGTAGCTCCCAACGCATGCTTCCACCAGAACCCGTATTTACCAGCCAGAATTGATAACCTTTTCACCCATAAGCAGGGAACCCTAATAGTTTTAGCCAGCCTATGAGGACCCCTGAGCAATTTTCATCAGGCTTTTTGATCAACTGAAGCTAGTGTGTTCATGATCCCCTCCCATCAGCTGGAGCGCCAGCAAGACCCAAAGTGAGGAAGTTTCAGCTGAGGCCCCCAGAGGCCCCCAGCATTCTTTAGATGTTGTGACAGGCTTGTTCCCCACCATGTGAATTCTCTAGTGTGTCCTTGTCTGACTATTGGTAACGGTGGTTCGCCTTCTTATTTCATCGTGTGTCGCCAACCTAAGCTTTCCAAATCACCAGTGATACTAACAAAATCTCACATAAGGGTGCTGGGGGCTCAGCCATCAGGACATAAACACCTCTGTGTGCATGGGAGGAGGAGGAGGCAGAGGCGGGCACAGCCTCCCTGGAATGGGTGCCTGGGGCCCCAGGAAGGGGTGCCTTCTTAAAGAGAGCAGAAGACTCACAGTCCTTGCACAAGTCTCAAGTTTATTTGTCCTAAATAAATACAATTTGAGAATATCCATTTCAATACCCCCAAACACCATTTCTTCTCTGAAGAAGCAGCTTAAGATACGGGTGCACAGTTCACAGTGCGTGTTCTCATGGTAGGCTCAGGAGGGTGTTTGTCCTGGCTTGTGTTAGGCTGGTCCTAGCTGGGAAGATGCCTCCAGGTTCCCTTCTCTGTTTGGAGCCTGTACTCAGCCTGAGTTCCCCCAGGACCGCTACGGCCTGTTCCTGCTCCTGGAGCACCTGTCTTCACCGCCTCTCCCCTCTGCAGCCCAAAAGGAGCAGCATTCACGACCATGTGGCCAGCCCTCACAGAAAGCTCTGTCCTCTTACACTGGGTACCACCACAGCCCATTCCCAACTGGCACGGAAAGGGTTGCTCCTGACCCTAGAAGCAGCTCAGCCAGGGCAAGGGGAGAAACTGAGGCACAGCTGGCAAATGGGTGGGAAACACACTCCCTTGAACTGTGCCAGGAGGCTTGGAGCCCCTAGTGAAGGGAGAAAGGGACACTGACCACCCTCCGCCTGTTATCCCCTGGGGTCCTGGCCCACTAGGGAGCAGGAAGAGGGAGAGACCACCCTTTGTCTTCTTTTTGCAGCTCAAAGGTTTGGGTCCACGTTCTCCTGGTCTGAGGCTGCCTCACCATCATTTGGGGACTCCTGGATCAGAACCAGAGATGCCCAGTCATGGGCTTGCGCTGTTCCCCAGGGCTGCAGCCTGAGGGCCAGCATCTCCTTCTTCTTGCCTCTGCCCCTAATAGAGCCAGAAAAGGCTCTGCCACCCCCACCTGAGGGTCCCTTGGCCTTCCCTCTGTCCTAGCTCCCAGGCCGCCCATGGCCACATGGCCCACCATTGGGTGACTCCCTCTTACCAGGCTGAGGCCCCTGCCCCGCCACAGGTTGGCATAGAAGCTCAGCACACGGGGATCACAGCGAACCACCATGGGGTCAAAGTCCAGTACACGCAGGCCCTGCAGGCTGCGGGCCCGGGAAAGGGCCACGTAGGCCTGGCCACTGGCAAACACACGGGCCAGAGAGATCTCCACGCAATCCAGAGACATGCCCTGGGGGATAGAGGGACAGAGCTGGAGCCAGCTCAGCCTCAAATCTCTTGTGCCCAAGAACCTGACCCCACCTTCACCATCCCAGCTACTGTCCCTGGATCTCCTCACCCAGACCAGAGATTCTCGAGGCAGGACAGGCTGACAGCAGATGGGTGTCTGAGTAGGAGGGGGTCCAGGAGACACAGATCCAGGATAAGAGTAGAGGGGTAGAGGTGAAAGGAAAGAGCTCAGGCCTGGGTCAGACAGGCATGGAGATGAATCCCGGCTCTCCCTCTCACTAGCTGTGTGACCTTGGACAAGTTACCTCACCTCTCTGAGGCTTGGTTTCCTCTTCTATAAAACGGGAATGATTATTACATCTATATTTCTTTTTTTTTTTTTTTAAGATTTTATTTATTCATTTTTTTTCCCCCCAAAGCCCCAGTAGATAGTTGTATGTCATAGGTTCACATCCTTCTAGTTGCTGTACGTGGGACCCGGCCTCGCGTTGGACGGAGAAGTGGTGCCTTGGGGCGTGCCCGGGATCCGAACCCGGGCTGCCAGCATCAGAGCGCGCACACTTAACCGCCAAGCCACGGAGCCGGCCCGACATCTATATTTCTTAGAGTTGTTGTACGGATTAAATTTAACGTATCTGGTAGTGACTCAGAAAATAGCAGGGCGGGAGATGACAGAAGGGAAGTACATGTGTCCGAGAAAGGGAGAGGAGGGGGGATGGGAAATGCGCTAAAGAAAGGTTTAATCTACACCTGGTCTGGAACTTTCCATCCAGAGCAAGCTCAACCCCCCAAAAGCCTTTAGGATCCCCGTTTCAACATGCCCCAAGCCTATCCTGTCCCCCCTCTGCCCTGACCTGCCCCTATCCCCCGCACTGGCTGCTCACCTGGCTCTTGTGGATGGAAATTGCCCAAGCCAGCTGGAGGGGCAGCTGCTGCCGGCTGAGGAGCTGGCCCCCAGTGGCCTGCACTGTCCAGCGGTCAGCACGGATGACCTCGGTGACTCCACACAGGAACCGTACCTGGGGCAGCCCTGAGGGAGGCATGGAGAAGTCCGACCTTTCCGCCCTGCTTCAGGGCTCAGAGGCGAGGAGGCCACACCTTTCCGTCCCAGCCTTCTCCTCACAGTCAACCCGGGGCCCTGCTGCAAGCCCAAGCAGTAGGACTGCTCCCTGGTCACTTACCTCTCCCCTCAGCCTCGAACCCCACAACCACTCCTCGGGCACCATTCACCAGGCCCCGGGACACCGCTAAGTTCTTCACCAGCATCACCTGCAAGAGACAGAGAGCTGGAGGCCTGGAGGGCAGCCCGTTCTGACACCTGGCCTCAGCTCCGGCGGTTGTGGCAGTGGTTCTTGGGGGCTGGGGGCTCTCACAGAAGCGCACCGAGTCCTAATCTTTAGCTCAGCCACCAGCCGACTGTGACCCCTGTGGCAAGCTGCTTTATTTCGCCAGGTCTCAATTTCCCCTTGTGTCAAAGGGGAATGACATTTGCTTAGTTTGCCTCAGAAATACGGGGTAAAGAGCAATAAGGTAACAGACATCACAGGGCTTTGCAAGTTACCACATCTGCTATAGGGTACGTGAGGGCCACAATCTTGAGGGAGAGCCCCCAGGTCCTGCCACCCCTCTTCCAACCACATTGTGCCTGCATTTCCCCTTGGGTGCCCTTTGGAACCTGAGGAAAGGCTCCCATTTGGCCCACTGCCAACACTGTGGGAGGAAGGAGGACTCTCACAGTACAGGGTGCAGTACAGAAGACAACTGTGTGGGGTAGGTATTTCACTGCCCGTTTTAGAGATGAGGAAACTGAGCTGCAGCAAGGGAAAGGACTTGTCCAAAGCAATGCTGCTTGGAGCTCCAGGCGTAGGAAGGGGAGGGCCGTGGAAAGCTGAAGACAGGAAAGTGGTGGGAACAGGAGGGAAGGGTTTGCTGTGGTCACAGCTGGGCCCTTTGGCTGTGGAACAGCCTGGGCAGAGGGACAAGGATCAGGGAGGCCCAAGCTCCCAAGGTCTAGGCCCTGATTCCCACACACCTGGGCCCCCAGCTTTAGCTGAAGGAGCTGGCTAACGGGACACTGGGCATCCAGGGTCCGGGCTTGCTCAGGGTCACTGTCCATGGCCTCAAAGCTGTGTACCTCACCTGGGAAAAGAGAGTTGGGCAAACAGATTACAAGTCACTGACTTGTGGCTCAGTTTCCAAAAACACATATTAGACCAGGCCCTGGAGGGAGGTAGTGGGGACAGCTCAGGCCTAGTTGGGGCTTTGGAATCGGGGGCCTGGGTTCAAGTCTCACTTCCAGCATTTACTGGCTGAGTGACCCACTCAGCATTTACTGGCTTGACCCATTCAAGGTCACATCTCTCAAAGTCACAATTACATTTGTAAATGTAAGGGCCTTTATGGCCACAGAAGTTGGGGGCCTAGATATCCAAATGACATCAAGGTCCTGGGCTGCCTGAGGGGCCACACCTGCGGGATGGCTCCTCCCAGCTGGTCTTGGCCAGTCTCCAGCTCCCTGCTCACCTGGTAGCTCCTGCAGCCGCCTCTGATTGGTAAGGGCCACATCATCCTGGTGGGTGCAGAGCCTCGTGGCCACAATCCCATCTCGCCCCACCTTGTGGGCAGCCGTGGCCCGGAGCTGGCGGGTCACTTCATCTGAGCACCTGTGGAGGCTGGGCTGTCAGGGCAGAGCCCACATGAACACCAGAGAAGGCAGGGCTCTGTGGCCCAAGCAGCAGGCCATGGGTCAGGCGTGGGGACTGAAAAGGGACACCAGGGCAAGATTTACTGGTCCCCAGGCTGGTCACCATGTCCCTTCTCCACCTGGACCCCAGACATGGAGAATAAGATTGGGGGTGGTGCTTGGCTGTGATCATGGGCGAGGCGCTCTTCCCTGTGTCTGCCCCCAGGTAGGAGCTAGCCACCTGCCCCCACCATGCCCCACCCCGTCCCAGTGCTCCTGAGGAAGTTGGGTGCAATGAGTGAGCACAGAAGTTTAGAGGACCTAGACAAGGCGTTGACTGACACTCTGTAATGTGGGTAGCCTATAATCAGATTGGTCTCCAAGGTACAATCTTCTAGCCCCTTGCCTACTGCCTTGGGGGAAAAACCTCTAGCCTGTGTTTCTGTTTTCCCCCATCTCAAGCCCTCCTCCACATGGGGAAGTCTGGGTACAGCAGCAACTCAAGTGGGATGAGGGGGAACAACTTGGGACCATCTCTCCCTGCTCTGCCACTCAGCCTTCCTTTTGTCCCCCACGCATGCTGCTGTGTGCTGTGCACCTTCCTCCCTGCCTCCTGTCCCCAGGCCTAGAAAGCCCCTCACCACCACTCCTTCCCCTGTCCATCCCAGTCTGACCTGGCTTTCAAGGCCCAGCTCTGGCCCACATCTTCCACCCTCCTGGCCCCCCACCCACTCCCACATTGGAGTAGTCATAGCATTTCAACCTTTTGTCCTAGTTGGGGTGGGATCATGTGTGCAACCTCCCTGCCCCCACCGAGTGACCCCACAGGCTCTAAGTGTGGAAGGAACTTGGGTTTTAGAGTTAGATCTGGGTTCAAATCCCAGCTTGGCCACTTACTCGCTATGGCTTCACCTCTTTGAACCCCAGTTTCTGCATCTGTGAAATGGGAGTGTTAACATCTCTGAATTCCTCTTGTGTGTTCATCTGCCCACAATTCCCTGAGACCTACTCTGTGCCAGGCCCTGTGCTGGGTGATAGGGACGCAACCCTGGGAGAGGCTGGGTCCCAGCGCTCACGGAGTGACCGTCTCTTATGGGGCCATGAAGCATTTCTCCCCTTTCTCTGGGTCCCTGTGCTCCTCTCTGACCCACACTTGGATCCTCATCCTGTGGCCCCTTCTCTATTCACCAGGGCCCACCTGCCCAGCCTCACAGCTTGCAGCAGAGAGACGAAGGTCTGGTCTGCCTGCCTCCACACCTCGGTCAGCTCCAGGGTCACTGGGACACACCTCCTCCAGCTCTTGGCCTGATGGGAGCAAAGTGGGGGTGTCAGGGAACAGAGCAGACCCCTAAGGGGGGTTGGGGCCAGAGAGTGAGTGGTACCTGGAAGCAGAACTGCGGGGGCTGGGAGCCCTTGGTTACAGGCGGCAGCTGTAGGAAGTCCCCGCAGATGATGAGCTGGATCCCTCCAAATGGCTTGTTCTGCTGCCGGACAGCTCTGGAGAGGATCATGGGGTGCTTTAGGGGCTGGAGTGGGCAGGTTCCAGATGGAAGACCACCAGAAGCCAGCCCCCACTTACTGCCCACACTGTACAAACTGACCTGGCTACGGCCTCCAGCTTGTCAAACAGGTCTGCCTCCACCATGGAGATCTCGTCAATGACTAGCCGCTGACAGTTCAGCCACCCCTGCCGCACACCTGGCCTCTGGGCCAGGGCCACACATTGCGCGAGGGAAGCCTGGCCTGAACCAATGCCTGTGAATGACACTATTCAGTCTGGGCTAAGACCCTGGCCCTGTCTCAACCCTGACCTCCCCGCCTCCCTCCTTTCCCACAGGCCTAGCTTGCTCCCAGCTCAAGGCCCAGGGGCTCTCACTTACCTGCAAAGGCATGGAGGGTAGTACCCCCAATGTGGCAGGCTGCCACCCCAGTGCTGGCAGTGGCCACAGTGCCTATGGGAGGCAGTGAGCCCAGGATTCTCTTCAGCAGATAAGACTTCCCTGTCCCTAGGCAGAGGGCAAAGTCAGGGCCAGCTCTCCTCCACCCCACCCTACCACTGTTCTCTCCACCCCCACTCTGCCCCCCACTACCTGCACTCCCAGTGAAGAAGACGCTCTGGCCTTTCAGGACAACTCTCAGCACAGCAGCCTGTTCCTCAGAGAGCTGTGGTTTGGTGGGGGGCAAGCTCAGCCTCTTCACGGGCAGGGGCCACCTTGGGGCTTCCTGGGGGGATAGGACTGTCTCAGGGCCTCCCCCACGCCCAGGGCATTGCCCCTCCCTTCCTGGCCTGGGTGCAATGCTAGGCCTGGTAGCCCTTTGTGCTCTGCTGACTTCACTCCTTGGAGTCCTAGGGCAGCCTCTGTTCACCTGGAGATCTTGCCAGTAACTATTGGGGTCCAGGGCTCTCCTTGGGAAGGGACCAAGGCTGGGTCTCCACTGACGCCTGGTGCCTTGAAGACCCCAGTGTGTGGGTCTGGATTCTCCCTCAGCTCCCTTCCCTGGTTCCCTGACTCACCTCTCACCCATCTTTCCTTCTCATTTCTCTTCCTGTCTCAAACCTGTCTCTCTCACCTCAAAACACCCAAGCAAAACCCTGCCTAACCTGGGCCCCTTCTTGCCCCATCTCCACCTTCTCACCAGCTTAGCCTCAAACCCCTGTGGTCTGCGATCCATCTGCCCCAGTTCCAAACACTGTCAAACCCACCAGACTTTGTCTCCCCATCTAATTGGACCTGTTGGCTGCCTCTGACACTGCTGACCCCTTCCTTCTCACCAAAAACTCCTCTCCTTCTCCAGGGAGACTACATTCCTACTTTTCTTCTGAAGTCTCCTTCTCTGCTTTCTCTTTTAACGTGGCCTGGGCCCCCTTTTCCTATTCTTGCTTACCCAGTCTCAGGGGTTGTACTATGAGAAACACAGGCACAATTCCCACATCCCTGTCCTACTCAGAAGTCTGATGGGCCTCTCCTGAGATAACCCGCAGCCCCCTCAAATACCACCACCATCTTCCCCCCAAACTTGGGCCTTCTCAGTCTCTTCCATCTAGGTGGCACATCCACTCCCCAAGGCGTCGCCCCTTTCCTGTCCTCACCGTGCTGGGCTCAGCCCCCGCCGGGGGCTCTGTCGTGGGCTGCTTCGCGGGCGTGGTGTCCGGGACCCGGTTGGCCGCCGCGCGCCGAAGCTCCTCGGGCTGCACGGGGCTGATGGTAACGAAATCGCGGGGTCGCGGGCCAAGCAGCTGCGTGCGTGCGGAGGCCGGCGGGGGACCTGGGGCCGCTGCCAGCTTGAGGCGCAGCGTGCGCAGGAAGCGGCGCAGGCGGTCCGGGGGGCAGTCGGAGAGCAGCAGCTGCACGGCGCCCGCCCGGGGAGCACCGTCGGCCGGGAGCCTCAGAGTGCTGCGCCCGGCCGTGGCGAAGCGCGTGAAGAGGCGCGCGGCGCGCAGGGGGAAGCAGCGCGGCCGCCCCGCGGGCCCGGGCGCCTGCAGCCGCAGCATCAACTCGCGGCGCTCGTTACGACCCAGGCTCAGCTCCGCCGTGCGTAGGGCCTGGCGCCTTCGCGGCTGCCCGCCCGGGCTCAGCTCCTCCACAGCCACGCGGCACCGCAGCTCCGCGTCCTCACATTCCGCTGCCGCTGCCTGCGCGCCCAACAGCATGGCCACCGCCTCTCCAGGTCTGCAAGGACCAGAGCACAGGGGTCACCGGGACTCAGGGGACATAACAGGTGGTATAGAGGCCGTGACGGGGAGCTGGGTCAAGGCTTCACGGGGTCGCCGAGGCTGTCACTGGTAACACAAAGAGGTAACACACAGAGACGGCAAAAGGGCCTGGAGCCAACCGGAAATTCACTTAGAAATTACTCTCCTACACAGTCATTTGCAGAGCGGCGTTAAATGCACCCCGGATTGCGGACCCCTGGTTGTCCTGCAAGGGACGCAGAAGACGGGCGCCCCTGAACAGAAAAGAAGCCTGCTTCCAAGAGACCCAGGGCGGGCACGGGAATCCTGAGTCGCCTCCCCGGAAGCAGAGGAATCTCACGTGGGGAGATGAGCAGGAGACTGACACTGAACAAGCACCTTCTGTCTTGCAGGTACGTCCACTGGTTTATGTGCAGCCAGGCAGGTCTCGCTATTTCCCGTGTACAGAAATGAAAACAGGCTGGGAGAGGCCACAACGGCTGGCAAGAGTCAGGGCTAGTGTGATTCCGAAGCCCTGGCGCTGCCCATCTCCGAGGTGGGGAAGGGGTAGAGAATATTTGGCTAGGGAAATCCCAGAGGGGCCCAGGAATCCCTGCTCCCTCCATCTGAGCCACTCGTCTGCACCCTCCCGGCAGGGACCCTTGAAGAAGCAGTCCCTGGACACTCACTTGCGCCGGCACTCTGACAAACAAACTGAACGGAGCCAACCTGCTAGCGAAGTTCGGGCACTAGGAACTTTCAAATACTAGGAGTAGAGAATCACCCTATCACGGGCTGGATCTTTAAATTCCCCAGCCAATCAGAGGTAGGGGCGTGACAATGGGCGTGTCTTTCGTTGGGGTTCTGCTCCGCGAGCTTGGGCTGTACCAATCGCACGCCGGGGGAAGGAGGCTTACGGTGGAGGCCGAGCATACCAAGTCGCATGGAAGAGTGGATGCGGTGCAAGAGGGCAGAGGGCTGCAACTGATCGCGCGTGGTGTCGCGTCACCCAACGCGGCTCTGAAGATTTATTTTCATAGCCATTCCTCCAACACGCTCCCTCTCCCCTCTAGCCTTCACAGAGCGACTGAACTTGGCCTAGGAGAAGAGCTACCTCTGATCCCTCCCACCCCTGTTTCCACTCGGAGGATCATTGCCTACTCCTGGGCAGACCACCCAAGGCCTGCCGTTTCCGCTGCCCCCGCCCCCGCCCCCCAACTCTTTCCACCTTTCTCTGCCTTCGTAAGGGTCATTTTACGCATTTGTCTTTCCCACCCGGCTGAGAGTGCAAAACAAGGGTGTGAACCCTTGTCTTCAGGGAATTCTCTCTCTTGTTGCACTGGATGCTTGGGGAATTTATTTTTTGGTTGTCTTTTTTTCCCTCATTGAAGCTTGGAATTACCTAGCTGGAAGGGATCTTACAGGTGAGTCTAGCCCCCTTATTTACTGAATTGCCTTCATATTGCCAGTGAGGAAACCAAGGCTCCACGAGGTTTTACCAAAGGTAAAACTTTGGTAGTTTGTAGATAGCACAACAAAGCCTTGAAGCCAAGTCTAACCGGCCTAAGCCCCTGTGTGTTTCACTCCTACGCCACACTGTTCACAGGTGACTGGTCTTCATGAGGGTAGTCCAAGCCTGGACTCTCAGCTCCTCACAGCCACTGCAATGCCCCAGCCCAGTCGGTTAGATGTTACCTAGCAAGTTTCCTTAATGTCTCAAGCCTTTGTTTCCTCATACATAATAATGGGAGAAAGATGAAAATGTGATGATTGCACAACTCTGTGACTATACTAAAAAACATTGAATTGTTTGCTTTAAGTGGGTAAATTGTATGGTTTGTGAATTATATCTCAATAAAACTGTTAGGAAAAAATCATGAGAAGAATTTTCCTCTTCAGTGTTGTCTTGACATATGAGTACTAGTGGCTTGGTTATTACATTAAGGAAAAATTTCGAAGTCACTGTGGTAGGCAGAAAAATGCCCTCCCTAAGATGTCCACGTCCTAATCCCCAGAAACTTATGAATATGTTACCTTACATGGCAAAAGGGACTTTGCAGGTGTGATAAATTAAGGATCTTGAGATGCGGAGATTATCCTGGATTGTCTGGGTGGGCCCAATGGAATCATAAGGGTTCTTATAAGGGCAAGACGGAGGCAAGAGATTCAGAGAGGGAGATGTGATGAAGAAAGCGAAGAGGGGTGTGTGTGTGTTTGTGTGTGTGTCTGAGAGAGAGAGAGATTTAAAGATGTTACTGCTGCCTTTAAAGATGGAGAGAAGGGTCACAAGCCAAGCCAAAGAATACAGAAGGCTTCTAGAAGCTGGAAAAGGCAAGGAAGTGGGTTGCCTCCCTAGAGTCTCCAGAAGGAACGTAGTTCTTGATTTTAGCCCAGTAAGACGCATTTCAGACCTCCAGAACTGCAAGATAATAAATTTGTGTTGTTTTAAGCCACCAAATTTGTGGTAATTTGTTACAGCAGCAACAGCAATAAGAAACAAATACAGTCATACAGCTAGAAAGTGCAAGAGCTAGGATTATGAACCCAGGTCTGTGTGTTTCCAAAGCTTGTATTCTCTCTTCCCACTATCCTCTGCTCCAAGTGGGGCTAGCACACTCACACATCCTGTTCCCTGCCCCTTCTCTCTGTGCAGTACCCCAGACTGCCTCTAGAGAAGGCACAGAGACTTCCACATAGATTTTCCCCCAACATTTTTTTTCTTTTGGTTTTCAAAATTTTTAAATTGTAAAATACACAACATAAAAATAGTCAAAATGGTAAATTTTAAGTGTACAATTCATTGCCATTAAGTACATTCAAATGTTGTATAACCACCACCACCACTATATTTCCAGAAAATTTTCATCATCCCAAACAGAAACTTTGTACCCATTAGACAACAATTCCCCATTCCTCTCTCCTCTCAGCCCCTAGTACCCTCAACATTTTATTCTGAAAATATTCCAACATATACAGAAAGGTTGAAAGAATTTTACAGTGAACACCCATATACCTACCACCAAGATTCTACAATAAATATTTTGCTGTATTTGTTTTATCACATCTAACCATCTATCCATCCCTCTATTCATCAACCCATCTTTTTGTTATGCATTTCAAAGTTGCAAACAACAGTACATTGCACTTCTAAACACTTCAAAATACATAGCATTAACTAGAGTTTATGCTTACCTTTTTTTTTTATAATTTTATTTGTTTATTTTTCCCCCAAAGCCCCAGTAGATAGTTGTATGTCATAGCTGCACGTCCTTCTAGTTGCTGTATGTGGGACGCGGCCTCAGCATGGCCGGAGAAGCGGTGCGTCGGAGCGTGCCCGGGATCCGAACCCCGGGCCGCCAGTAGCAGAACGCAAGCACTTAACCGCTAAGCCACCGGGCTGGCCCATATGCTTACCTTTTTAATGTAAACTTTACATATAGTGAAATGCACAAACCTTACACTTATCGTTAGAGGAGTTTTGACAAATGTGTATACCTATGCAGCCCAAACCCTTATGAGGATATAGAACTGCACTGTCCAATAGGGTAGTCACTAGCCACATGGGGCTAATTTTAAATTTAAAGTAATTAAAGTTAAATTAAAATAAAAATTCAGTTTTTCAGTCGCACTGGCCACACTTCGTGTTCAGTAGTCACATGTGGCTACTGGCTACCCTATTGGACCACACAGATATAGGACATTTACTTCATTGCACAAAGTTCTAGGAACATTAACATCACCTAGAAAGTTCCTCATGCCCCTTTCCAGTCAATCCCTACCTTCAATCCTCAGGCAACCCCTGTTTTGATTTTGTTTTCACCATTGATTTTAGCTTATTCTAGAACTTCTTATAAATGGAATTATACAATATTCTTGTGTGAACCAGCTTCTTTCACTCAGCATAATGATTTTGAGATTCATCCGTGTTGCTACGTGTATCAGTGGGTTGGTTGCTTTTTATTGCTGAGTAGTATTCCATTGTATGCGTATACTACAGTTTATCCATGTTCCTGTTGATGGATATCTAGGCTTTCTGTGGATTTATGCTTTAATTTTTTTTGAATAAATACCTAGGTGAGAAATTGCTGGGTCATAGAGTAGGTTTATATTTAGTTATATATGAAGCTACCAGAGCTTTCTCCAAAGTGGCTGTATGCCCACCCAGGTTTTTGTACGAACAACAGCGAGTCCTTGTAAGTAAAGGAATCGAAGGAATAGTTAGATACTGCCTCCTAGTGGATTAACGGTCCTCAGGCTCCGCCCTCCTCCCCGCCCCAGCGCTGCCGGCCCGGGAGCTGGATCCTGATTGGCCGGTGGAGGAGAGAGGCGGAGCCAGAGGGGCTTCGCACTCCTGGGGCTGGACTTCCTCCGTCTGGGCTTTGGGCAGTCTTCGCATCCGCTCGGTGCTCTTGCTCGCTGCTGCCGCCGCGGGGTCAATTCCGAGTGAAGGGCAACACTGCTCTGCGATCTCCTCGCCTAACCCAAAGCCTGGTTTTGACGCAAGCTCTCTGGAGGAACGGGTTTTCTTCATTATGCAATTTCCTCCTCGAGAACTCTTTCCATACGTTTTATCTGCTCTTTCTCACTGGTGGTCTCAGTCCAGTTCCCGGCTCATTAATACGACATCAGCACAGAACTGGGCGGTTTACAAAGTGAATTTTCCGCGTTATCTCATTTGATACTTAAAAGAGGCCCTCCCCTCCACCTTAAGGTCCTATTTCTCCAAGCTTTTGCCCGCCCTCCTTTACAGCCCTAAGCTTAGAAGGACAGCCTTGTAGAGGAGCTGAAAGGGTGTTTCACGGTCTTCCAGCTTCCAGAGCACGACTTCACCTCGCATTGCTTCACCACTGCGTAGCGGTCACTCATTTTATTGAACCTCTGGTACAGGTGATCCTCCCTCCTTGAAATCCTCTCTTCTCTGAACTTCCACAACACACTCCGCTCGTTTCTTCCTACATTTTGGCTGCTCCTCGTAGGTCTCCTTTGCTAACCCTTTTTCCTCAACCAGATCTCTCAGTGTAGGAGGGCTTTATCTTTTTTTTTTTCTTTCTTTCTATCTTTTCGAGTCCCATGGTTTAATTATCAGCTACATGCTGATTCCCAAAATTATATCTCCAGCGTGTCCTTCTCCCCTGAACTGCAGACTCTAGCTCCATTTGCCCTCCTAATATCTCCACACAGATGCCTAGCAGGCATGTCAAACTGACTTTTTCCAAAATAGAACTTTTAATTTTCTTCTCCAATACCATATAAACCTGTTTTTCTCCTGTCTTCATCATTTCAGTAAATGGCACCACTATTTTTGGCTCAACTTAAAAACCTACACCATATCCTTGATTCCTTCTTCCCCTACCACATCCAATCTACCATGGAAACCTGTTGTTTCTGCTTCCAAAATGTATTTTGAATCTATTTACTTCTCTCCACCCCTACCCCACACCCTAGAGTTAGCAGCCTGTCACCTCTCCCCTAGATTATAGCAGTAGTCTCCTAATCTCACATCGTTTTCCAAACAGCAGCAGGTGGGATCTTTTCAAACATATAAATCCGATTTTGCTACTGCTCTAGTTAAAAACCTTCAGTGCTGGGCCGGCTCCGTGGCTTGGCGGTTAGGTGCGCGCGCTCTGATGCTGGCGGCCCGGGGTTCGGATCCCGGGCACGCCCCAAGGCACCACTTCTCCGTCCAACCCGGGGCTGAGTCCCACGTATAGCAACTAGAAGGAGGCGAACCTATGGCATACAACTATCTACTGGGGCTTTGGGGGGAAAAAAATGAATAAATAAAATCTTTAAAAAAAAAAAAAAAAAAACCTTCAGTGCCTCCTTAGGCTATTCCTCCTAGAATAAAACCCTCAGTCCTTACCATAGCCTGAGGCCAACTCCCTCCCTTCCTTTCACTGTGACCTCAAGTCTCCCACTTTCTCCCTGACTCACTATGCTTCTGTCACACTGGCCTCCTTGGTGTTACTTGAACACCAAAGCCCTTTCCAATGCCAAGGTCTTTGCCCTTGCTCTTTCCTCTGCATGAAATACTTTCTCCCTTCCACGCTGCCTCTTTTTGTGGCTCTCTTTTTTTTTCATCTTTCAGGGCTCAGCTGAAATATCCACTCTGCAGAAAAGTTTTCCCCCACCACACACACCATATCTAAAATGGACTTCCCAGTTACTATTTTATTACCCTGTCTATTTCCCCTAGAGAACTTACAACTACTCCTACTGTTCCTCAGCTCTCCAAGCAGGGCGTGGATCTGTGTGGCCTGGTCACACAATGATTCCAAACCCGGTTATTTAGTAGAGAGCATGGACTCTGGAGTCAGGCAAGGTTTGAATCCTTGCGCCACCACTTACCAGTCAAGTGGGGACCTTAAACAGGTCCAAGCCTCAGATTCTTCATCTGTAAAATGAGGATAACAATCATATCTATTTCATGGATGCGTACCTACTTTTGTGAGGATTAAATGAGATACATGTGAAGAGTTTAGTACAGTGAGCAGATAACAGAGGCTCCTTAAATTCTTTTGAGTAAATAGATAAATGCCAGGATGAAGTATTGGAAAGCACCCCACTTAAGAGGCACTCAATAAGCTTTGTGGATTAAATGCCTTATGCAAAACAGACTCCATGTGTTAGGTGCACATGCAAAACAGACTTCATCACTTCCACAGCCCAAAACTTTCAATGACTTCCCATTGCCCTGAGGTTAAAATGTGGTCTCTTCCACACGGCCTTCAAGGTCCTCTCTACACTGAGCTCTGTCTGCTTCTCCAGCCTGGCCTCCCTACACACATACACTATACTGTTTCATGCCTCTATGCCATTGCTCACACTGCCCCTCTGCCTAGAATGCCAGTCCTGCTCCTTTGTCCTGGTTTTGGTACCCTTCCTCTGCGCATTTACCCTCACATTTAACACATGGTTTTCTCATCTGTTTACATGCCTTTCTCTCCTCATAGAGGACAGGGACCCTGGGTCCTGCCATTATCTTCCAGTTATCAATGTAGGGCCTGACAAACAATCAAGGCAAATAAAATATTTGTGTTGAATGAATGCATGTGGTGTAGAGGCAACAACCAGAGGGCCAGCATGGGCTGGATGAGGAAACTGAGGCCAAGGTGGTTATCAGTGGCTCACTCCCAAAAGTGACAGAGCTGGCTAGGTATCAAAACGACCTCACTCTCATCCCCACCATGAGCTGCTTTTGTGCAACAACATGAATTCCCCAGGGTCTCTGGTCTGCAGGTGGAATCTGAGTTTCCAGATACAGGACCTTCTGAGTCCTCAGGCACAGGGTGCAACGGCTGCACAGTTCTGCAGACTGAGAGAATAAAACCATGTGTTGGCTGCAAGAGGTTGCCACATACACTGACTTTCTCAGATCCTCAGGCTGGATTTTCTTCCTCCCTTTAGATAAAGGAACCCAGGCCCAGGCATGAGGAAAAAGTTCACCCCCATCTTCTTCCCCCTTGGCCCTGGGGTCCCAGGCTGCCCTTTTCCTTGCAGAGCTGGAAGTGGCTTGGGAGCCTGAGGGCCAGCAGAAGGCAGTGAAAGGGGAGCTCCCTCAACTGGTACAGCTGCTGCTATGGCAGCCAGAGCAGAAGGAGGTCACCATTGATCCCACACGCACTTAATTCTTCCTGCTGAGGTATGGGGCAGGGTTGACCCAGAGAGCTAAGGGGGAAGAGGTGGAGGGGGGACAGCGCTGGGGCTGGGATGTAGCAGTTATTTTCTCTCTGGGCCTCTGTCTCTCTAAGTGTAAAATGAAGGCACAAGGTGTAACTAACACCATTTTCTGCTAGTCCCTACACTTCACTCCCCAGCAAGGTTGTCAAGGCTGCTAGATCACCGCTGGATGGGGGATGGGGAGCGGGAGGTGGCCCTGAGATATAGGAACCAGAGAGGCCAGGAGAACACTGCATCTGGGGACCCCTGAGAGCCCGGGGCAGACTCCTTCCCCCAAAGAGACCCCGGAATCCAGACTCCCAGCCCCAGGTCTTCCCGTTGTACTAGTCTCTGGACGGGTTAGAGCTCCAAGCCCCGCCCGGCCAGGAGGTTCCAGGGAGAAGAGGACCAGGTCGTCGCCACTGCCCTGGCTTCGGGGAGGAAAGAAAAGGAGCCTCTTGGTACCCCCATCTCTGGGCCGTCCAGGGCGGCTTGGCTCAGTCTGGCATCCCAGCCCACTCGGGTCAGGAGACCTCAAAGGTACAAGCAGCCAGCGCCTCGGGGGCTCGCTCGGTCCTGCCCCACCCCGGCCCCGCCCTCCGGCCCCGCCCACGTCCCTCGCCCCCGCCTCTGGCCGGAAACCCCCTCCCCCTGCCCCCGCCCAGTCCCCAGCACCCTTTATCCCCTCCCAGTCCCTTTCCCTCTGCGGGTCGAGGAACTCGCTCTCCGCCTTGTCCCTCCCTCTTCCTCGGGCTCGGGCTCCTCCATCCAGTCCCCAGACCCACGCCCGGCCCCGCCCAGGTTCCTCCCTCAGCTCCGGCCCCGCCCCCGTTTCCCGCCCCGGCCCCCGGCCTCCAGGCCCCGCTATTCCACTCGCCAGGCCCCGCCCCCCGGCCCCCGGAAGCCTCTCCCCGCCCCGGGCCCCGCCCCCCCGAAGTTTCTTGGGCCCTGGCGGCCCGCGGGACAGAACGCAGACAGCCGCCGCCCGGCCGGGCGTGGATGGAGGTGGTGGAGCCCGCGCGGCGTCGGGGGTGAGCGGCCAAGCGGCCAGACTTCAACTGACTCGCCATGGAGGAGGAGGTGAGGGCCGGGCCAGGCAGGGGACCTGGGCTGGGGTCTTCGAGCCCCTCACGGCGGTTGGGGGGTCCTGGGCTCAGGCCCTTGTTCCAGCCAGCCCCTCTCCCGCCAGTCTCTGGACACCACCCCTACCCCACCCCCCGCCCCCACCCCCGTCCCAGGCAGAGCCTGGGCGGATGAGGCAGAGGCGCGGGTAGCGATCTGCGTCCGGCGCTTCGGAGACCCGTCCTTCTTCATGATCTCTGGCTTCTCTCACCAACTGTGGGCATGGTGGTTGTTATTGTTCCCATTGGACTGATGGGGAGACTGAGGCTCTGATCAGTTTGATGACTTGCTAAAAGTGGCTTGGGTTGCTGGCCTCAAACCCCAGTTACTGTTGACTCCCCATGCCGGCCAGGTCGGATCCTGAGGGGGCAGACTGTGTGTGTGTGTGTTTGTGTTGTCGAGGGGTGAGGGGGAGGTCTGTGCGTCTGGAGTCCCTGTCTCAAGGAATCTTGAGGCTATGACTGTGTCTGATGGCCAGAGGACTGGAGAAGTTGCATTTTTCTCCCCTATATGAGTCCCCTTTCCCCTGCCCTCTCTGCTGGCCTGGAGTCAGGCCCAGGTAGGGGCTGATCCTGGCCCCTACTTTCCCTACATCTCTGGGAGGGCTAACTCCCTGGAGGAGCTGGGCAGCTGGACCAGCAGTGCCCCTTGAGCCTCCCTCTTCCCCCTCAGGACCCTCTTGTTCTGGGGTGGGGTCAGGCACTCTGACTCCTGCCCTTTACTTACATACTCAATTCTTCCAGCAGCCCCACCATCCAAGCATACAGCAAACACTTAATTTATGCCTGTGGAGGAGTGGCCTACTGAGTCTAGAGGACTTTGCTTCTTGTCCTCTGAGGGGGTCTCAGCTTCTGCCCCTCCCGGCCCAAGGGGAGGGGATGTGTCTTTGCCTGGATGGATGGGGAGGAAAGATGAAGCTTTCACTCTTGGGGCAAACCTGGCCAGATGAGGAGCCCTGAGTGGACCAGGCTGCCTGTGTCCCCATCAGTGCCCATCTCCCTATTTCCTGGGGCTACTGCCCAGGGGCAGCTGGGCTGTCTGTCTGGGTTCCCTCCAGGCTAGGCCCTGCATTTCTGTGGGATGGTAGATAAGTCACTTCCCCTCTCAGCCTGCATTTCCTCTTCTATAAAATATAGGGCCTGGCCTCTTCTCCTGGTCCTGACAGTATGATTGCGGTCCTTTCTCTCAGAGTGGGTGGAAGTAGGGGGCAAAGTCAGGCCACTATGATTTGCTGTGGTTTCTTGCTGACGGGTGGGGCTGTCCTGCCCGGCCCCAGGCCCCTGTTGTGAGAGCTGTGCTGTCTGGCTGTGGCCCCTCCCCTTCTCCTAGAGGATGTGGGTCAGGATTACTCCATCTCCTGATCTGCTCTGGCCCCCAATTAAGGGAAGTTCTCCTGGGGCCTCCTGAGCCGATAGTTTGTCTCGGTTTGTCTCATGGCCAGGCCAGCCGAGCCTAGCCTTGAACTCCCGCTTGTCCTGAGTCGCTAACATTGCCACTTACTGACTCCTAGATGCCAAAAGCTCCCTGCATAGCTGGGCCAGCTAAGGTCCTGCCCGCCTCCTCCCTACACAGCCAGGGGCTCCCTATCCCCTACCTCCCCTTTGACATCCCTAACTCTTTTCCTTCCATTTCTTCTCCCAATCACTTCCCCTTGTTTCTCTAGGCCTTAGTACCCATCTTTGTTTCTCTAAAACACCTCTTAGATCATAGTCACCTGCTCTGCCCCATGACCCCAGTCTGGCCTCATCACCTCACTCCCACATGGCTGCTTTCAGCCCTCCCTGTAGCTTTGAGCTTCCTCCCCATGCCCCGGCCACTCTGGTGCCAAGCCCTCTTAGACAAGTGACCTCCTCTGTGTAGTGGGTTGGTAGTCCCCATCAGGCTGAGGCTTGGTGATGATGCCCAGGGCACTGGGCGTCTGTCTACTTGTGTTCTCAGGGCCTCAGTTTCCCCATCTATAAAATGAGGGAGGTGGGTGATCCAGAAATGTGATGATATATGTGCAAAAGCTTTGAAAACTGCAAATATCAACATGAGGTATTGTTGCCACTGAGGTGAGGTTAAAAACCTGGACCCAGGCTTTCCTGTCTCTGCCCTGGGGTTCTGCCCCCTGCCCTCTCAGTCATGCCTTTCCCTTGCTTGGCCTTCAGTGGCTCCAGGCTTCCCATTTGCCCTTACTCATCTAGAGAGAGGCAGGACAGTGTCCTGTCCCAGCACTGGTTTTGTGACCTTGAGCTCCTCTCTGGCCCTTTCTGGGCTGTACTTTCTCTTTTTCTAGTGAAGGAGGTGAGAGTATAAGGTCTTTGATACCCTTTGTGCTTTTCCTTCTCCTCTGGGCCAAGGTGTGTGTCTCTTTCCCTCCTCACAGTCCTACCCAAACCCTACCTTCTACAAGAGCTTCCCAAACTCACCCCAAGCCCTTACCCCACTAGAGAGCTAGGACTGAGGTATCCCTCCGGGTAGGTGCTGTGTCTCTCCCAACAGCCTGGGGCTCTCTTAAGCGGGGGATGCTCACCCAACCCCCTGACTGGGGACTTCCCTTGTGCAGAGTCTACGTTGCCCCCATCAGACTGGAAGTTCCCCAGGGCAGAGCCTGTGCTTCCTCTCTCGGATTGCCCCATCACAGGGCTCTGACATGGGTTCTTAGCAGAGTTTGGTCAGAGCATCGTTTGGTTTAGTCCAAGGGCAAAGGTCATTGTCATAAGCTCCCTGTGATGTAAGGTGCCAACAAAGTTTCTTCTGCTGGTCTCCTCCCTCTGTCATGGCCTGCATTGTGGCTTTCCACCTGCTCCCCTCTGTGCACAGGGTAGGGGTGACCTGGCATTTTTTTTCTTCTTTTTTAATGAATGACCTGGAGACCTTCCCACCTCAGTCAAAGGAGAGCCGGGCTGGTGCCCAGGGGTGCCTCAGGAGCTGCTCACAGTGGGCAGGGGAGGGCCTGAGTGAGGATGGATGGGAGAGGAGAGGGTAAAACAGGAAGAACTGTGGTCAGCTCGTCAGTAAGAGGAGAGGAGGCTGAGAAACTGGGCTGAGCAGGACGAAACCTCCCCTGTGAGCCCTGCCAAGGGGAGAGGCCACTTATTAAAACTTCCTGGGGCATAGCCAGGCCCCTGGTGGGAGAGTGTCTGAGGGGCAGAGAGGGGCTGGGTGAAGCGTGGCAGGCAGGCAGGACTCTGACCTCCAGCCAGGCCTCCCTTGGGTGGCTCTTGCTGTGTCTGATTCCTGACAAGGAGACTCTTTCCTGGGCTGTGGTTCATGCCACCTCCAGCCTCTCAGTTGTCACTCACCCATCCCAAAGTGCCTTCTGCCCATCCTGGTCCCACCCATCCCTAAAGGCCCTGGACTTGCTTCTCTAGTTCATCCAGTCATGGTGTTCACTGGGTACTGCTCTGTTACACCTGGACAGGACAGTGGTCAAGGCACAAGGTTCCAGCCTTGCCCCCTGGATCTTCTAGCGGGCAGGAAGTTTTCACGTTTCAGGCAGTGGGTGAGGCAGGCAGGGGAGGTCACAAGCGGAGGGAGTTTAGAAAGGGGTTTGAGAGCCCATGGGGTGGTGGGTGGGGCCCTGAAAAGCAGGAGGTGAGCTTGGAGCTCAGAGGTGGGAGATCCAGGCAGCAGTTTCACCGTTCCACAGTCCCTACTGCGTTCCACAGTCCCTACTGCGTTGTTTAAGAGAGACCGAGAGTCTGCAGACCTAGAGGTGGCCAACAGCGCCGCAGTTGCTAATGGAGGGTGTGATGTGTGAAATGTGGGGTGGGGTTTCCCATTTCCCACTTCTTCCCTTCCAGCCCTGGGCCTGGGCCAGCTTGCAGGGATCACTGAGAGGATGAGGCCCCTGCAGGTCACACAGCCCATGGGGCTGACCACAGGGTCTTTGGTGATGCGGGAGGGGGTGCGGGGAGTGTGTGCATAAGACGATGTGAGAGCCTCCCCCTTCTCATCGAAAAGCCCTGAAGTCTCCTCTTCCCCTGGTCAGGGTGGTTCCTAACTGGCGGGTAGGCAAGCCTCCCACTTCCTTGTTCCTCCATCCGGGAAGACCGTTTGGGACCATCCCACTCCCCCATTTCTCTCGCCATCTACAAGTTAGGGAGAGACCCTGAGGGGGCATCCTACAATCCTGGAGCTCCTGGGGTATTGAGGACCAGCAGCTAAGCTAGAAAGGTCCTGTCCTGTATTCTGAACCAGGACCAGGGAGAGGGTCCCTGAGAGCCAGAGGGGATGGTAGTGATGACAACAGTAACAATAATAACAGCTACCATTTACTGAGTTTAGGCACTGCTGTATATGCCGTATCTTTATTCAGCAACAAACATTTATTGAGCAACTACTGTGTGCCAGACACTGTATAGGCACTGGGCATACAGCAGTAAACAAAACAAAAATCCCTGCCCTCATGGAGTTATAATCTTTGCAACTCCTGTTAATATCTCCATTTCATAGATGGAGACGCTGAGGCTTAGAGAGATTGAGTGACTTGACTCTGGTCTGTGTGACTTGGGCTTCAAAGCTCAGACTCGCAGCCACCGGAATGTGCAGTTCAGAGTGGGAGGAGGCCACAGTGAGAACCAGGCCAGGGCTCCCCTTCCATGACAGAGAGCAGGGAGGCTGTGCCCTGCCCAGCCCCTGACAGCTCACCACACTTCTGTCTGCCTGGGCTTGTCCTTCCAAAGGCGGCTGTGGCCACACGGTATCCCTGGGGAGAGGTGTGCTCCTTTTAACTGGGGCCCCTTTTTTGAGCTTTATGTAAATTATAAAGTGGTCAGAATTAGGCAATGCTAATTTCCTTCTAGCATCCTCTAGATTCTGACATGCTCTTGACCCCCTCTCCTCCACCCTCCCCTTCACACTCACTACTGTGGGTACCAGTTACTGAAGCAAAGTGGTTAGCAAATTGGGTGTATTTTTATTTCCATTTCACAGATATTTCTTGAGCACCCAGTATGTGTAAAGGAACAGTGCTGGGTGCTGGGGACCAGAGGTGAATCTGATCCCACCTGGCATCCAGCTACACAAGCAGGAAGTTGAGGGGCACAAGATATCAGTGGCGGGCCTGGAGGCTCCAGGGTGGCTGCTGTGTCCTAGAGAAGGGCTCAAGTTTACCTCTTGTACCAGCTTGTGGTCGAAGGCAGAGTCCTTGGAGCCCCCACCAGGGGGGTTAGTGGCCCCAAAGTCCTGGCCTGGGGCAGGGATGAGGGGAGAGGAGCCTCCTGCTTTGGGGCAGGAAGCAGGGGCTGCAGAGTGGGCTCTCTAGAAGGGGGGGTAGAGAGACAGATTACCACTTTGCCTGCCTGCCTCCTTCCCTCCTCTGATCCTGCTTAACTGTGCTCTCCTCTGGGAGGCCTTCCTGGGCCACCCCAACCTGAACCAGGTTCCCCACTGTCCTCTCTCACTGCCCCCTTCTTCACTATCCCTTCCCTGTTGCCTTCATAGCATTTCACACTTGTTAATGTGTTCATGTCTGGTGTTTATTTGTCAGCCCCTCCTGCCTGAATTGCCAACTCTATGAGGGCAGAGATGCGTTATTTTCATTCTTCTCTGCCTACTCCAGCCCCTGTGACCTTGTAGGTGCTCAGTACAACGTTTGTTGACTGGTTGAATGAACACATGGGAGGCAGAACGGTGCGGCAGGAAGAACGTGGGGTCAGAGACCCAGTTTGAATTCTAGCTTTGTCATTCCAGCTGTGTGACTCTGGCAAGTCATCTCGCCTCTCCAAGCTTTAGTTTGGGTTCTGTGACATGTGGATAACGATGCTATTGCCTTGGAGGGTGGTTGTGTGGGTTAAATGAGATGATGTGTGTAAAATGTAATATGGTGTCTCAATATAAGGTGGCTGCTGCTATTATTATTGTTGTTGCTGCTGTTATTACTGTTATTTCTAATACTGGATTAAGAATATCTGCCTTGGGGGTTGTAGGGAAGCTCACATGCGATGATATCAGTAGGTACCCAGCAAAGGTACGCATCCCTTGTGTGGCCTGTGGACTGTGTGGCCCATGGCAGCAACCCTCATGGCATGTCCTGGTGCTGTCTTACAGGGTGTGAAGGAGGGGGGCGAGAAGGTTCGGGGAGCGCGGACGGCGGACAAGGCTGGCTGGATCAAGAAGAGCAGCGGAGGCCTCCTGGGGTTCTGGAAAGACCGCTATCTGCTCCTCTGCCAGGCCCAGCTGCTGGTCTATGAGAACGAGGTAAGGACCTGCCTGGCCCTGAGGTTGGGGGTGCTGGGGCAGGGAGCAAAGTGAGGGCAGCCCAGGCCAGCAGGTGGATCCCAGAACCGGGACTGGAAGACCTGCTCCACTTTTGACATGCTGTGCAACCTTTAAAAGTGCCTGATCTTCTCTGGGTGTCTGTGGTATGGGGACGATACCTCTAGGTGCAAGTCTAGGGCTCCTGGATGAGGGGCTCTTTGAAGTGTATGTGCATAGGGATGTGTGTGTCTCCTCAACTGTACACCGACACTGCAACTCCTTGTCCCTGGGCTAGGTTCTACATATGTGAATGTTCCAGGAAACTGAAGTTTGCTCCATTCAGCAATGATAGTAGAAATAATACTTATCGCTCATGCTTGTTTGGAGCTCTTATATACCTCTTATATGACAGATGCAATAGTCCCATGAGAGTGGTCATCATGTTACCTTCTACAGAAGAGGATACTGAGGCCCAGGGTGGCCAAATGCTGTCAGCTTCTCAGTGAATGAAGGAGTCAGGTCTAGAACCAAATCCAGTGCTCTTTCCGCCCAGACACACCAGCATGTAGACTCTAAAACATATTTTTGGTGGAAATCCTCTGAAATATGTTGAATATTCTCTGCCTTCTCCAACAGAAGGTGCCGGCCTAAAATGAGTCTTTCCTTGGTGGCTCCGAGTCACTTATTAGACTGTTCCATACCGCCAGGCTGTACTTTTCAGCTTTTCTTTCTTCTTGGACATCAAGCTGCCAGTTGCCATTTCTGCTGTCCTTGTGCCTCCCACAGTCCTCACGTCTTTCCACTTCAGGTTGTGCCGCTTCTCGTTTCAGCAGCCTCGGAAGTTGGACAACCAAGGATGCTACAATTGTGTGTTGAGTAAGAGTCGATGAAGCTCTGGGTGAAGACCTGAGGAGGAAAGGGGGCTTTTACCTGTAAATGCTGTTTGTGTGCTGGGGTTGAGGCTACCAGAGGCCCCATCCGCTGAAAATGGGCTATCGCTGTGTGCCGTTGATCAATGGGATACCCGGGGAGGAACTGGCCTAGGGGCAGCAGAAAGGGGATCCTGCCCATTCCCCATCAACCTCTCTCAGCATGCCTCAGGGTATCTTGGCAAATTCATAATTGTCCTAGGCCAAGAAAAGTTGGGCCACCAGATCTCGGTATTTAAAGGAGCTGCCTTTGAGGAGCACCTTGCCTTGCCTGCCCGAGTCCCCAGGCTCATAGAGTTGGGGTGTCAGAGAAGCTGCTGTAGGAGGGCAAGGGGGTGAATTGTGCAGACAGCCCCCCAGGTATTCTATACTACCGCTGTCACCAAATTAGGATGTGCTGTGGTGGCAGCAGGGGGATATTTTTATAAATAAAGGGGGGTTGTCGCAGCTTCTTCCAGTCCTGGCTGCCATAAGAGTTGAGTGACAGGCCCCCAGCTGTCAGCCCGTCAGATGCTGTCAGACTTGTCCTGGGCTGCCTCTCCACATCTGGCCATGGCTGGGAAGCAGGAAGGATTTCACATCCCCTAAGTATGAAAAATATAAATCAAGCTTTAAAAAAAATCACTATTAAAACCTGAGTGCAGTTTTAAGAACTTAGCACTCAGGGGTGGGGGACCTTGGCCCAGGAGTAGGAATTGAGAAATGCTTATTAGTTCAATTCCTCTTTCTGATGTAAGGAACTAGGCGAGTGCGAATGGCTCTTGGCTCTTTCTTTGCTGTCAGTGAGGCTGACATTCCAAAAATGCTGCCCCCGCCCAGTGCCTGCTGGTGTATCCGTTTTTCTGAGCTGCAGAAGGGCCGGATGATTCAGCGTTTCGGGTGCAGAGGAGACCCAGGACAGGCAGCCGTGGGGAGCTGGGTGGTGGAGATGAACTTTTTGTTCCTAGACAGAGGAGGGTATGTTTGGGCCAGTAGTTGTCCAGTTCGGGGAGGCCTGTGCACATGGGGCAGGTGAGCTGCACCCCGTGGGGGGGGTCCTTCCCCAGGCAGCTTCCAAGGTAGGACTTCCTGGGGTCTCACTCTGTGTCAGGCATTCAGTCCAGCAAACTAGTCCTACGTATGTCTCTCTTGAGGGCTGCCTCTTATAGGGCGCTGCAGCAGGGACAGAAAGGAGAACAGACACATGCAGCGTAGGGTAGACAGAGATGGCGGCAGGGAGTTAGGGCTGTTTGTTCCTGTGGCAGGGCATCCCTAGCATCTAGTATGGTGCCTATACTTGGCAGGTGCTTTGTGGATGGGGGGGGCCTCAGAGCACAGAGAGAGCACCAAGGCTTGGGCTTCTGGGAGTGGGCGGGGAGCTTCCTGGAGCAGGTGGATTTGACTAGCCCTTGTGTTGAGTGGAGGAACCTGGAAGGGATTGGAGACTAGGGGTTGGAAAGAGATGTGTGGAGGTGAAAATGGGAAAAGACACTTGACTGAATCTGGGTGGGAAAGATCTGGCCACCCTGGGCGTCTGTTCCCCTTTCCCTGAGGTGCTGAAGAGAGAGTAGATCGGTGGTCATCCACCTTAGCTGCATAGTCATCTGCTTTGAAAAATACTGATGTCTGGGCTCCACGCCTCAGGGATCCTGATGTAATTGGATGTTGGCTGGGCATTGGGGTTTTTATAACTCCCAGGTGCCACCAAAGTTGAGAACCTCTGGTGTGGAGCAGAGGTTCTCAAACTTTTGCATACATCAGAATCACTTGGAGGGCTTGTTAAAACTCAGATTGCCAGGCCCATTCCCCTAAGATTATGATTCAGTAGGGACAGGACCTGAGAATTTGCATTTCTAATGAGTTCTCAGGTGATGGCGGCTGCTGCTGGCCCAGTGCCACAGTTGGAGGACCATTGATGCAGAGCAACCTGTTGCTACGGCACTGTCTGAGCCTCTGGGAGGAGCGTAGTGGGCGGGACAGAGCTCTGGCCTGGGGGTCAGAGGCTGTGGGTTTGAGTTTGGCCCTGCCCCTTGGGTCTGTGCTCCTAGGGCAAATCACTTCGCCTCCAGGCCTCATTCTCTTCCTCTGTAAACTGAGGCAAATACTGGAGCTCAAGGCTTTCAGGGTGATTGAGAGGCTCAGGAGAATCAGGGATGCAAAAGTGCTCGCTAAGTGTCAGGGTTTCTCAGTATGTGTAGATTATCAGGGAGAGAAATTGGGACATTTCCTCTGCAAATAATCGAGGCACTGCCTCCCAGATATTCCACCCCAAACTGCAGAGCACTAAGGCGGTCCCTGGGTGGATGCTTTGCTGGCTGTCTGCATGATGTCCAACCGGCAAAAGTTTCCTTAACTTGTTGGCCACTCCCCAGGGCAGTGCCCCCCACCCAGGGCCGCTTCTACTTCTGTGGAGTCTCCAGGAAGTTGTTCCAGCTGGGTCTCTCCTGGAAGAGGAACCAATTGGCCACCAATGAGGGAGGAGCTTGTACCAGGCAGCTTGCTGGTAGAGCCCACGTGGAGAAAACACTCAAGGGCCAGGGCTGGGAGGCAGGAAGGCAGCCTAGCCTGTGTCCAGGGGTGGCCTAGAAGAGGCTTGCCACTGTCCTGGCCACCAGCCCTTCTAGTGATGAGGCCTCAGGGTGGCAGGCTGAGGGGGGTGCTCTTGAAGGAACCCTTGCCCTCTCCATTGTGCAGGCTATGGAGAGTGGCCTCTCATCCCAAGCCAATAGTCAGCGGAGGAAGATGCCAAGTGGGGAAGTCAGCTCAGGATCACTGTGGTGAAGGCAGGGCATGTTCATGCCTTGTTCACACTTGCCTCTGTGGCTCTGCCTGGAAAGCCTTTTCTTTTTTTCTCATTTTTTGACATTTTGCTCCTTCTTCCAGGCTACCTCTTCCACAAATCTCTGCCTGGCCTCTGGGCCTGCATGGACCCCCCAGGCACCCTTTTCTAAGCTTCTCCAGCTTCGCCTGTTTCCTGCTTTGGCCTTAGGCACATTTGAGTCAGTTCTGCTCCTACCTCATTTCTCATGTGGATGGTGAGCCTTGAGGGCATCCCTCCAACCAGCACGGACTGAGCACCGTCTACTGCCAGGGTCTGAATACCGCATCTGGGTGATTGATTGGCAGCCTGAGGTCCCCCTCTGACCAAGTGATGCCCTCACTGAGTGGGATCAGGACCTGGGGCGGGGCCTGGGTGTTTGAGAGTCTGGGTGCGTCTAGCTCTCATCGGTTCGTGTCCCCTCTCTTTCCCTCCTCCCAGGATGAGCAGAAGTGTGTGGAGACAGTGGAGCTGGGCAGCTATGAGAAGTGCCAGGACCTTCGTGCCCTCCTCAAGCGGAAACACCGCTTTATCCTGTTGCGATCCCCAGGGAACAAGGTAGGGCTATGCACACTGCTGCCTGACCTTTCTGCAGGCAGGGTCTCCTTGGGAAGATCACCCCTGGAAGGCTCTCTAAGGCAAGCTGGGCCCCTGGCTGTAGCCTGCAGGTTCTCTGTTGACTGTGGCTGAGTCTCAAACCCAGGAGCTACCACAGGTTGGACCTTTTGCTCATTTTGTCTTGGAGTCTCCCCAGCCTCTGGTTGATAGGAGATGCATTTAGGACTCTGCTGAGAGCTCTGCTCTCCTCTCCCTTTCCAGACCCTGGGGCCTCCTTCCCAGGCTATAGTTGGAAAGTAGCCTGTGGAAGGTGGGGCCCTTGGCCTTCTCCCACACCCTGGACACAGGAGGTCCAGGGCTGAGGCAGGAAATCTGGGGATGAGGCCTTCACCCCACCAGGCCTCTGACACCCTGTGGTAGTCTAGGGTGGAGGGGAGGGTGTGGCCTCCCCTTCATCTCAGGCCTTCTGGGTGGGCTACCCCTCCTCCCCTCCATTCCGGACTCAGTGCTCGGAGACCTGCAGACCCCAGCTTTCGTCTCCTCACACTTTCCTTTCTTGGCTGAAGGGGGAGAAAATCTCTTGCTGAGAGGTTCTTTCCCTGGGACATGCTGTGTGTTCAGATGAAAGATCACTGTTTGCACCACGTATCTCTGGCAGGGAATCTGCCAGGGTGGGTGTTGACACATGGTGTAGTTTCACGGATGTCAGGAGGGAGTTCAGATTTGGGGCTTGCGTATACAGCACCTCTCGCCAGCTTGCACCCATCTGCAGTTGGGCCACGCCTCGCCCCAACCTCTGCACATCATGTGGAGCCACGCAGAGTGGGGCTGAGTCACAGAGGCTGCAGGTTGGGGAACAGGTCTGGTCTGGGCCTGTTGGAGGCCATTCTGTTTCTTCCCCAGCTTTAAGGGCCTGGGAGCCCAGTCCTCTGTGGTCCCCAGGGCTCTGGCCCCTGGAGGAGACCATGATGCTTTACTCACTAGACTTTTGTCCTATTCTGCCGTGGGTGGGGGCAAAGAAGGAACTGTGGAACTCTGATCCTGGGTGTGCCCCAGGGTAGGGGCAGGTTTATAGTGTCATGAGGGTTCATAGGGCTGGGCCCAGGTTTCCCTTGACATCCGCTGCTTAGGGCTTATTGAAGAAGAGGAGAGCCACATTTTGGTCATTCAGGCCCTGGAGACCCCACCCTCTCCTGGAGAGCTGCTTCCTCTCTGAGTGGGTCCTGTATTTGTGTATGTGTGTTTGAGAGACACGCAGAGTCCGTTCTGTGGGAAAGTCTGCCGCCTGTGCCTGGCGTGCGTGTGTGCTCCTCTTCAGGGGCAGGTGAGCATTCGCCTGGTGTAGGTCTGTCTGGGCCTTTGTGTGTCTCTTAGGGAGCTTATGTGGATGTGGGACAGATGGGCCTTGCTTCTCTGTCCTCTGCCAGTGCTGTTCTGCGGGCCACCTCCTTTCCCCAGCTCTGAGAATCAGCTGGTGGTGGGCTGGATGGATCAGGCCCAGCTCAGGGTGGGACAGCACCTTCAGAGAGGCCTGTTTGTGCAGCTGCTTTGGCCAACAACCTGCCATCCATCCCCCAATCCTGCAGAGTTCAGGTTGGCTCTGGGTGACTCTGGGAACAGGGCGATCAGTCAGGGAGATGGGGCTGTGGAGCCGTTGGTGGGGGCTGCAGGGCAGTGGAAGGACAGCATACCTGGTTCCAGCTCAAGGCCCCTGACCCTGGCCACCCCAGGAGCGCACACAGAGTGGGGGCTCTCCAGAGGACAGATGGAGGACCGCGCAGAGCACCACTCACCGCATCCTCTCACCCTCCTTTCCTATCACCCTGGGTGTTCCCCACCCTCAGTGAGGCCCACGGCTGGCCAGAGGTCACATGACCCTGGCTGTCTGGTCCTGAGGCCGCCTTTTTTTTTTCCCTCTAATCAAATAAACAAAGCCTCCAGTGTCTTGCATGCCCCTCTCCCTCCTGCCTCCCCGTCCCCACACCCCTGCCATGAGGTCACAGGCAGACACTGCCAGGAAGCAGGGTGGCCTCTGCTGGGCCTTGCTGCCCTGCTGGTCTCAGCCAGCTTGGCCCTTATCCTCTTTCCTGCTTCCTTTCTCCCCCTTTCACTTTTTTCCTTTCTGCCGTTTTGTCCCCTCCTTTTCCAGGCCATGTGGGCCTGTTCTGTGCCAGTCCCTTAGCTCCTAAACTCCTAGCAGGGCCTGTGCCCCTGGGGCTTCTTGGAAGGGCTTGGGGAGGGATCTGTGCAGCCTGTGGCTCTTCAGGATGTGCGGATGGGGCAAGAGGAGCCACTTCTTGATATCTACTTGTCCCTATTCTGATCCCCCTTGGGCGATGCCTGCTCATTCAGCCAGGATTACAGGGTTCCTTAGGGTGGGGCTGGGTCCCATTTAACCTCATATTCCCTCTCCTAGGGAAGCCCTTTGGCCGACACCCTCCACTCAGCCTGCCTCAGGTGGGCTGGCCAATGAGGAAGGGCCACAGTTCGGATTGGGTCCAGTGGCTCTGTTCTCATCCCATTGAGGCCCCGAGTAGTGAAGAGACCTGTGCAGGGTGCCATTGTGGGCAGTGAGACTAGAACTTGACTTCTAGACCAGTGCTCTTTCTCTGCCCCACTCTTGCTGCATCTGTTGTTGAGTTCGGGTGTATGCCTCTCAAACTCTCTGGAATGCTAAGTCCTGCACCAAGCAGGGGCCCCATCAACTCAGGGCCTGTGAGCAGGAGCAGCGGCTGGGCTCAGAGGGGCTGGCCCTGGGCCGCCTTTCTCGCAGCCCCCAGCACAGGATTGCGTGGGCCCTTGAAGAGCCCAGATGCAGTGCTATCCCTCCCTGAGCCCCCAGCAGCCCTGATGGCTGGGCTAAGAGGCAGTTGCCAAGGTGCCCTGGGGTTTCTGACTTAACTGCAGATCTGCTGCCAGGATCGAATTTATCCTGGTCATGCAAATGAGCATTTGGCTGTGCCTGGCATGGGAGGTGGGTGGGACCCAGTGCCCTGTGTGAGGAGAAAGAGGAGGCAGCCAGGAGGAAGTTATATAACGAAGATGCTGAGGGGGCCAGGCGGACTGCGGTGTTATATAACTCAGACAGTGGCAGGAGGGAAGGCGCTATCTTACACCACAGCGGGGGATGGGCAGGCTGGCCACCCGCCGGGCAAAGAACTAGGACATCTTGAGGTCAGAGAGTGGGCAGCAGCCCAAAATGGGCAAGGGAAGGAAGCTTGGGCCAGTTCATTCATTTCCTGGCTCATTCATTCAGTAGCTATTTACTGGGTACCTTCTATGTGCCAGATCCTGGCTTTAGTCGAGTTTAATTCCCTCAGCATTGCCTTGTGGTAGGTGGTGTTATCCCTGTTTCCTGATGAGGAGACCAGGACTGTTTTGTCCAGAAGAAAGGCAATGGTGATCATTCCTACTAGTGAGCACTCACTCTGTGCTGAGCTCCAGATTCAGCACTGTAGATACATCGGTGATCTTCACAGCTCCATGAGGCAGGTCGTGGTGGTGTTCTCCTTTTACAGATGAGGAGACTGCGGCTCAAGGTCAGCCAGCTATAAGTGGTGGTCTCTCCAGCTTAGAGACCGTACTGCTGTGTCTACCACGCAAGGTAGCCCCTCAATTTGCACGGCCTCATCCCTTCCACCATTTCCTGTCTGACCTTGGGGCCTGAGAGGGAGGGGGCTCTCTGAGCTGCCCTCTGATTCTAATATAGAAGCTCAGAGCTCCTGCTTGAGATGGGAAGGGACCTTTGGGGTGGGGTGGGGTGGGGTGGGGAGTGGAGTCAGGAGTCACTGGATTGCTTCAGGCTGCCTTGGCCAAGTCCCATCCCATCTGGTGAGCCTCTGTGTCCTTATCTGTATGATGAGGGGTGTGACTTGACCCCCAATGCCCTTTCTCTCTTGTAGTCTATTATTCAAGGCCAGAAAGGAGACCCTGGGACTTTCTCACTTGGAGCCAGGGCTGGTTGTGGGGCCCACAGGGGAGCTGAAGGTGGCCCTGGTTCCAGTGGGTCTTCACCAATGGACACCCCTCAAGCCTGTCATATCTGTCATTGTCCTCAGCCTGGTGTGGGTGTAGACTGGACTACTCCTACTTTACAGAGAAAAACTGAAGCTCAGGGGTCAGGCAGCTGGCCTGGAGGAGTCACATGCAGCAAGACCAGATCTTTCCACAGGGCAAGGCTGACTAATCCAAATCTTTGGCAGCTGCGTGCAGGGAGAGAGCCCCATCTCTGCTGGATCTGTCCGCTCCCTTGTCCTAAAGCCGAGGTGTTAGACCTGTTGTGGGGTCATTCTGGTTTGCTCCTGACCAGCGGTGCCAGAGAAGACTTTGGGATCTGGGGTGGGAAGTTTTCTTAAGACCCCAAATGTGAGCCCTGTTGAAACATCTGCCATCCACCCCACCCATGCCTCCTGCAGGTCAGTGACATCAAATTCCAGGCACCCAGTGGAGAGGAGAAGGAATCCTGGATCAAAGCCCTCAATGAAGGGATCAACCGAGGCAAAAACAAGGCTTTCGATGAGGTGCGTGCAGTCCTGTGGATGGCTCGGTGTCCCCTTTCCCACCGTGTGTGATCTCAGAGAGGACCCTGCCTCACCTCACCCAGACAACCCCTTGATTATGTCACTGCTACAAACACTGGGGCAAGAACCTGCTGTTCTTACCTCATTTAATACTAACAACACCCCTCAAAGGAGGTAGTAGTGTTCCCATTTTATAGATGAAGAAACTGAGGTGTAAGGAAATTAAATAACTTGTTTTAAATTAAAACATAGGTAGGGTAGAATTTTACTGGTTGCAGCCATGCATCCTTTCCAACCCAGCCTCAGCTGGAAACAGCAGGTGGGCCCAGGCCAGAGAGGTCTGAGGGGGTGAGCTGGGAGCCTGAAAGCTCACTTTTTAGTTTGGCGATGAAGTCCAGACCAGGCTGGCTCTAGCCCTTGGCCTCTCTATCTGTCTGCAGTAGCTGCCCAGCCCCCTGTGCCGTAGCGGTGACAGTGGCAACAGTGGCCACGATCAGGCTTGGGGCAGGTGGGTGTCCCATGGGGCCAGATCTCCTAGGAAAGATTTGCGTTGACATCATGGATTCGTAGCTATGGGATAAAATGGACCTGGGGGCCACCTGAAGGGACCTCTGGGGTTGCAGAAGCTGAGACCTGAGGGGAGCAAATCTTCCCAAGCAAGTCACCTCTTAACACCCAGGTCCCCTTGACTTGCAGCTATGGCTCCTGTGTCATGTCTTATGTGACTGTGTCATTCTCAGCCAATTACCAGCTGGGGAACATGTCCCCATTTCCTGGGATAGGGCTGATGGGCCATATTGTGGGTGTTTAAGGCCACAGGAGCATGGACTGGGCCTCAGCCCCCAGTCTTGGTGGAACAGGGCCAACTCCTTCACTGGGGAACAGAGACAGTTGGACCCCCAGGTGAGCCTGAGCCTGATCTGGGGGCTGGAGAGTGTTAGCGCCATTGCCCATCACAGGGACAGGCTGCACCGGGGTTCAGAGTCTGGATTTCCCATGTGGATCTTACTCTGTGGTTTCCCTGCTACTCCTGACCTCCTTTCCTTACTGTCAGAGAGGAGATATGCCCTCCAGATCCCCCACCCCAAAGGGACAGGGGCCCTGCTCTTTCCTGGGCTGTGCCCGGGGGTCCTGGGAGAGTGACTGGGGCCAGGACAGGCCTATTCTGGAAGCCAGGTACCAGGGGACCATGGATTATCTTCCCCTCCCCCAGCTAAGCACAAAAGCAGCCTCAGGGCGGCTTATATATTTGCAATAGACCGAGGGGCAACGGCTGATAGCCCATATTTGAGCAGGAAGGCTGAGGCAAAGAGGGCAGCTGCCGAGGGAGGGAGAGCCTCTGCCTGCAGAGCCGACAGAGGTAGTGTAGAGACAGAGAAGAGCAGAGGTCTGGACACGGGATGCCTCAAAGAGAGAGGCCACTGTGGGGCGATTTACCCTGTCAAGTGAAGATGTGGGTGCAGACCTGCCCCTGAGGTGGGTTAATGCCTGGGCACTTCCTCCTCTCCCCAAGTCCTGGTGAGGACTGACCTGGTTCCTCCTCCTTCCCAGGTAAAGGTGGACAAGAGCTGTGCCCTGGAGCACGTAACGCGGGACCGGGTGCGTGGGGGCCAGCGGCGCCGGCCGCCCACGAGAGTCCACCTGAAGGAGGTAAGACTTTGCCCCCGGCTTGGACAGGTGGGAGGTCAGTTAAGCCTAGGACCCCAGCTCCTTAGGGTGGCAGCCGGGCTTGGGGCTGCCTTCTTCCTGAGGACTGAGTGGTACTCGGGGTGTCTGTGTGAGGAGGCACGTGTGTTATATGTGCTCAGTGTGTAGATGTCCTCCTTCACTTGTTGAGTCCACACACTGGCCTTAGCCAGGCTTGGTGCCTGAGGGAAACTGAGACCCTGAGGCTAGTCCCTGCCTCTCAGAGCACAGCTTCCAGCTGGAGAAAAGACCTGTTCCAAGCAGAGCTGTGTCTAATTTCTGTACAGTGGAGGGCTCTGAGAGGCCGGGACAGGAGGGGCCACAGAGGACCCACTGACACTTGAGCCTTGAAGGACAGAAAGGGTTTCAATTGGCAGACTTGGTGTGAGGGACATTTCTGGTGGAGGGAATGGCGTGAACTGAGGCACGAGGCAGGAGAGTTCAAGGTGGGCCAAGTCCCTTTGACTGGGAGATGGTCTGGGAAGGCGAGGTTGTGGGGAGGAAGTTGTGGAGGCCTTGAATGCTGGAGCTGGGGACAGGATGGATGGGAGGGTGCGTTCCAGAGGTCAGTTTGAGGCTCTGGGTAGGGTGGGTTGGGGTGAGGGAGGGAAAGGCAGGGGGCCAGGAAGTAAAGGGAGAGGCGACACCTCCAGGCCCTTAGGGGGGATGAAAAGGGAGGGGCCAGTGGGAGTGACACTGGGAAGCAAGAGCTACCTGAGCTTTTTATTGAATATGGGGCTAGAGGAGGCAGACTAAACAGAGAGGGAGGGTTGTCAGAGGTGCCCCCAAGCCTGGAGATTGGGTGAGTGGAGGCCCTGGGCGCAGCAAATTTGGGAGGAGGCATGGGCAAGGGCAGGGGTAAGGGAGAAGCCCTTTTTCAGACTAGTGATGCTGATGGGGGTGGATGGTGGGGGAGAGATCTTGGAGGCCAAGAAAGAACCTCAGCAAATGCTACATTTGGGGAATGGGGGGCTGTAGGGAGCCAAGGAAGAAGAAACCAGAGAGGCTAGTGGCACAGCTGGGGAGAGAAGAGCACAGGACCTGGGGGCTGTCAGCTGGGTTGGCAGCCACTACTAGTCACAGGGCAGGACTGAGGGAAAGGCGGGTGGTAATGCTTATAGCATGTTTTCTCAGGGGAGTCAGCTCAGGGCTATCATGGGGTGCAGAGCTGGGGGTGCCAGAGAGAAGGGGACCATGGAAGGGAAGAGAGAGAAGAAAAGGGGCCAGCATCATTGGAGAGTTTATTTTTGAGACGAGGCAGCCTGTTCACATGTGTCAACTGAGGGAAGAAAGCCTGCCGAGGGAGCGACCGAAGTAGCCAGAGAGAAGAGGAATGCTGAGGGGGAGGTCTAGGAGGTGTTGCCGGAGGGCCAGCCTTGGAGGGAGGGACCGTTTGAGAAGAATTCAGAGAGGGGCTCTTGTCCCAGTGACTGAGTGCATATGTTGGCCAGAGCACTTGTGGGCATATGAAAGGGAGTGAGGGTCCCAGCCAGCACCCCCACCACCTGAGAGACCTTGGGGGAGGCCCCCTCCCCAGCTCTGCTCCAGGGCCTCTGAGGCCCCCTGAGAGTGTCCCCATGACCGTGGGGCTGCTGGGTGTCCCTGTGGGTCCCCAGGGCCAGCTGCCTGCTTGGTGCAGCTGTTCTCCTCTGCCGGTCAGCTGGTCTGGGGCTGCCCATGTCTGGGGCCACATCTGACGGCGTGAGGAGAGTGGGCACAGGCTGCTGAGCAGCTGGGCGGGCAGAGGCTGGAGAGATCTGGGCCGCAGGGCTGGGTGAGGGGCTGGCACACCAGACAGAGGTCTTAAGGGAGGGGAAGAAGAAGTGAGTGAGCTCAAGACAACTCGGGAGTCCTATCGTTGAGTCCTGGACCTGTCGCCTACAGCCTGTGGGGACCCTGAGTGGGTGGTTGCAGAGAAGGGACCCTCCCAAGGCCATACAGCCAGGAAGGGGTAAGAAACAGGGCTGGAACCATGTCCTCTGCTGCCCAGGCCAGTACAACAGCCACTAAAACGAGCTGCCTCTTTCACTGGCTAGAAGAAGTCAAACTGTGGTGCTGGGAAGACACCTTGGCTCTGAATTCCTGGCTTGTGATCCCAAAACAGGGAATTCTATGGGAGTGAGGGACAGAAGAGGATTTATCAGAGAATCACTTCGGCTTCTAATCAAGTGACCTCGGAAGCCAGGCCAGAGGGCGTGGAGAGTGGGGGCTGGGGGCCTGGGCAGCCTGGATGGGAGGGCTTGAGTACCCTTGTAGGTGGGCACATCTGACCCAAAGGCCAGTCATCCAAGATGACGCCCGTGTACTGCCCCCACCAGGTTGCCAACGCAGCTTCTGATGGGCTTTCACGCCTAGACCTCGATGTCCCGGACAGTGGGCCACCAGTGTTTGCCCCCAGCAATGATGTCAGTGCAGCCCAGCCCAGGGAGACAGTCCGGCCCCCCATGCCTCCTATCAAGCCGTCTCCAGCACCCGAGACAACCAGCCTTGGTGACAGAGTGGAAACCCCTGCAGGGGAGAGAGCCCCCACCCCCGTCTCAGCAAGCTCTGAGGCCCACCCTGAGAGCCAAGAGGACTCAGAGACTCCAGTGGGGGAGGACAGTGGCTCTGAGCAGCCTGCCAACAGGGTCCTGCCTGACAAACTGAAGGTGAGCTGGGAGAACCCCAGCCCCGAGGAGCCCCCCGACCCTGAGAGTGCAGAACCGCTCCAAGTACCCTGTTCTGAGACTTCCGAGGCTGCGCCCAAGGAGGGTGGGAAGCCCCCTACACCCCCACCCAAGATCTTATCGGAGAAACTGAAAGCCTCCATGAGTGGGGTGGAGGCTTCTGGGCCAGCCCAGAGTCCTGGGACCTCTGAGATCTCTGCCCCAGGCCCAGCACAGGTCTCAGTGAACGGTGTGGATGAGAGTCATGAGCCCGACAAGCCATCCCAGGCTTCGGGCACCCCAGAAACTCCCCCAAAGGACACAACAACATCCGCAGCACTGCCCCCCTGGGACCCACCACCTCAGTTCCATCCCCGTTGCTCCTCCCTGGGGGACCTGCTTGGGGAAGGCCCCCGGCGTCCATGGAAGCCTGTGGAACGGCTGTATCGGGCCCAGCTGGAGGTGAAGGTGGCCTCCGAACAGACGGAGAAACTGTTGAACAAGGTCCTAGGCAGTGAGCCGGCCCCTGTGAGCGCCGAAACATTGCTCAGCCAGGCCGTGGAGCAGCTGAGACAGGCCACCCAGGTCCTGCAGGAGATCAGAGATCTGGGAGAGCTGAACCAGGAAGCACCTGGGCTACAGGAGAAGCGGAAGGAGCTGGTGACCCTCTACAGGAGAAGTGCACCCTAGGGCCTGCTGGGCCAGGGCATGGTCCCTCCTGGCAGCCCAGTCCATCAGAGGCCAGCCCTGCTAAGAAATGTGCTTCTACTCAGGCTGTAGAAGGGCCATCGGGCGTGTCGGGGTTTGGCCAGGACCTGCTGAGACTCCTGGTGTCCTTTCCGCCCTATCCTGACCCGTGGTGCTAGGTGCCACCCAGGGCCACTCTCAGTCTATCTGGCCTGGCCTCTGGGCTCTGGGCTCTGGGCTTGGGCTGGGAGCACATACCTGGGACCACTGTGCTTTCCTGGTTGTTCCGAACTGCCCCAGGGTTTTGGCACAACACTTGGGGTTTCTGGAGGTGGCATCATCTCTGCTTCCCACCCCAGTAGTTTACATTCCTGACTCCTGAATAGAGCACAGCTGAGCCCCACTGCAGCCTCCATGTCCAGATATTCCCAGGCAGAGAGCCTCATGGCAGAGGCAGCTTCAAGCTGTGACCAACCCTCCCCACCCACCTATTCCGAGCAGCTGCTGAGGCCTTGGGTCCCAGCTATAGGGTCATCCCTCAGCTGAGTGAGACCTGGAATCCAGCTAGGGCCTCCGAAGGCAGGTGAGAGTCATCTGTGTGAGAAAGCCATTTGCTGTGTGGCCCCTCTCTGGGCCTCTTTCCTCTTCTGCAGGCCTTTCCCTCTGGTGAGCTGTGATTGGAGGACTCCAGGGTGGAGGAGAAACTCAAGGGTCTACTAGTCTAGTCCCTGCCCCTGGACCAGCTTGTGTCCAGCCTTGCACATTCCTGTAGAGGTGAACCCCAGAATGGTCCCAGTGTCAACATCAGAAAATCCTGTATGTAATTCATGATAAATCAACCTTCAGAAGAGAAGCCGCCCCCACTTCTGTGCCTCCCCCACTTCTGTGCCTCCCCAGAGGGAATTTATTTCTGGGTCTCTGTGGTTCCTTCTCAACCCAAACAGGTCCAGTATCACATGATTTCTTCGAATGCTGATGGGGGTATGTTGGGACCTGAAACCACTTTCCTCTCCCCTCTTCCTCTCATCCCTCTGGCTCAGGCCCCCAACGGACTGCTCCTGAACTTCCTAGTGGAAGGAGCATTTTCTCCTGTCCCTTTCCTGGTCCATGCCTGCAGCCTGAGCCTCTTCCTAGCACATTCCCCCCCCGCCCCCATTGTCCCTAGCTCAAGGAGCACATCCAGTCTCCATCCTGCTGCAGCGGCCGTACTGAAGGCAGAGCCTGTAGGTGCAGAGGCCCTGAGGGCCGCAGCCACTCTCCCTGGGGCCTGTGGGAGTGGGAGCTGCTTCTGACAGGCCTGCTCAGGGGGTTTCTGCATGTGCACTTTTGTTTACTGAAGGAGAGGGAGGGTCACAGCTACATGCTCTGGTCTTCTGCCCACTGCCCCACCCCGAGCCGCCAGTCGTGCCCACTGAGGCCTGCCGGCGCAGGTCAATGCCTTCTTACTGTACTTCTACTTTGTCCTTGAGGGTAGTGGCCAGGGATCAGGAGGGGCAGATGTCCATTCTGCAGCCTGGACTGGGCAGGGGTGGGGGTGAGCAGCGATGTCATGGCTCGTGAGCCCCAATTGGCATCCCAAACCACACTCCTTGGACAGAGTAGGCTCCCATGCCACAGTCTGCCTGTCCCTGTATCTGTCTGCAGTGCAAGAATGTCATCAGGTGCCCACAGTCATGTGGCCCCCTGCCATCTTTTCTTGGGGAATAGCTTTCCCCACCAGCAGCCTGGGCTGGCTGGGGCCTTAGCCAAGTCACCTGCTTCCAGGGACTAGAGCCTCAGTTTCCTCCTCCGATAAGTGACCAGGCTGAGCAAGTAGCTCTGGGGCCACCCCAGTCGCCTAATGCCATTGGTTCTTCTGGGGTTCCCATGCCTTGGCAGCCTGGGCCCCAAAGGGGAATCCAGCGTCCAGGGGAGGGGGAGGAGGATCAGGACTATGCAGGGCTGCCTTGCCTGCCTCCTTGAGGAGGATGGCATTCCATGTCTTCTGCTTATGAAGCGCCTTTCTTGAAGTTTGGCAATAAATCCCTTTTTATGGAACTTCTCTGCCGCAAGCCTGTTTGTTGGTATGGGGAGCAGCTCCAGGGCTGGCCTCAAAGGATGCAGAGCGTAGGTGGTGGTTGATCAGTGGCATCACCAGTCCAAACCCTGTTCTCGAGCTCCCTTCCCATAGGCTGGTGGGACATTGCCCACTGGCAGTGCTCCATCTCTGCTCACCTCAGCCAGGCTCTCCAGTTTCACCTCCACACACAACATTTCTGCAGGCTAGGGGTGGTCGTAAGGAATAATGCTTTTCAATTTTTAAAAACTTTATTTGGAAGTAATTTCAAACGTAGAGGAAAGCTACAAGAAGAGGAGTAATACAAAGAAAACGCATATACTCTTTACCCAGATTGACCCAATGGTTTATCTTTTGAGCACTTTCTTTAACACATGCACAATTTTTTTCTGAATCATTGGATAGTTAGTTATTGTGGCCCCTTACCCCTTCAGTGTGTATTTCCTAAAAATAAGTATATTCTCTCATTAACTAGAGTACAATTATCAACTTCAGTAAATTTAACACTGATATGATACTTACTGTTCATTTTCCAATTTTGTCATTTATAACCAATAATATCCTTTATCATATTTTTCTGCCAGTGTAGAATCATATATTGTATACATGTCTCTTTAGTCTCCTTTAATCTGAAATGTTTCCACAGCTTTTCTTTATCTTTCATGATGTGGACGTTTTTGAAGAATACAGTCTTCCCCCACTTTTTTAATAGAATATTCCTCATTTGGGGTTTGTCTGAGATTTTCTCATAATCAGATTGAGGTTGCAGATTCTTAGCCAGAAAACTGCGTGGGTGATACTGGGTCTTTCTCAGGGCCTCACATCTGAAGACATACAACCTCCATCCACCCTTCATTGGTGATGTTAATTTTGATCACTGGTCAAGGTGTCAGATTTTTTTTTCTACTGTATAGTTATATTTTTTTCTCTTGTAACTAATAAGCAATCTGGGAGACATTTTAAGACCATGCACAAATATTTTGCACCTCATCAAAATTTCCCCTTAGATTTAGTCTCCATTGAGGAGTCTTGCCTGAAGAGGTGTTTCCTATGATGGTTCAAAATATTTCCAGCTGTTATTTTAACCTCGGAGCCTGGTTCTAGTTAGGGGTGAGCCTGGGCCCTGCCTTATACCTGTGGCATCTCTGATACATCTCAGTGGGACACCAGGGTTTCACTGAGTGCTCTTTGGAAGCTCCTGGGCCAGTGGGCAGAGCTCCAAGTCTAGCTGCCAAGGTTCAAGTCCCACCCAGGCACCCCAGTGAGTCTCAGCCTCAGGGGGCCTCAGTTTCCTGACCCACAAAAGGGGGATTACAATGTCCCCACCCTCCAATGTGGGGAAGCACTGCTGTGCTCCCCAAAGGCTGGCTCCCTTCCTCCTCTGTGAAGGCTGCTGGACAGGCCGGTGGCCAGCATAACAGGAAGCACCTGACCCAGCCTATCAACTGTGGCTATGACCCTTCTGTCCCTTGTGTCCCTCCTGAATTCCCCTGCCACTGGCCTGATGTGTGACAGCCATGTTGAGTGAGTGGCCTGCAGAAGCTGAGGGATCCCAGGCAAATCACTTCCCAGGCCCCTTATCTGTGAGGAAGAAACAAGGTAAGAGGAGTCCCTTTACAGATGGGGGTGTCCCCCATCCTCACCCAGGAACTGGGTCCCCTCTGGAGGGCTGCCTTGAAGGGAGCAGCTGCTCAGTGGCCAGCCACAGGGCAAGGATGTGGTGAGAACTTTCTTTCCTCCGGTCTTGGGGGCTGGAGGCCTATGCAGAGAAAGGGAGCCTTCCTCTTGAATACAGGCTGCGATATCTCAGTGGCCTTCAGGTAACGATGAATAGTTACAATGCAGGATTTTGCAAACCACAAAGTGGCCACCTTCGGACCACAGGACCTAGGCAGAGGGGGAGGGCCTGCTGGGGGAGGGGGCATCTGGATTGCCCTTCCTTCTGCCTCTACCTGAGCCTGGGCCCTGGAAGCTCTCTGTGTCTTTCTAGAGCCACCATGTTTTGTGCCCTCCTCCAAGGCCTATCTTCCTAACTTCCCGAGCCCTACTCGCATGTCCCTGACGTGAGACATGTTGTGAGACATGAGACAGGGCTGTCAGAAAAGGCCACATAAACTCACTCAAGTGGAGATTTCTGTGACATTATGAGGAGGCTCATTATGAGGGGGAACACGGAGGATGGAGAGATGATGGTGGAAATTCCTCCCTGTTGTCATAATTTTATTAAACAAAATTTTGGGTGTAAGTAGAAAAAACATCACTTTAGATTTGGAGGCAGACACATCTAGATTCAAATCCCAGCCATGAATGAGTGACCTTAAGCAAACTGTGCCTCACTTTTTCCTCTCTGTAAAATGGGCTAATTCTCCTTTCTTCACAGGGTTGCTGTGGAACACAGCTCATGGCCGTCCTCCTAGAAAATGTTTAACAAACCCCAGTGGCCTGGACTCACAGCACCTACTATTTGGCAGGCCTATATTGGTCTCTCATTGTTACCACAGTGGCCTCATGAGGAAGATGTGTTTATGTTCACTCCATTTACAGGTTAGGAAACTGAGGCTTAAACAAATTGCCTAGGAGACCGCAAGTTAGTATCGGGACGTGGGATTTGGCCCCCTAGGGTCCTGGCCTGGAACCACAATGTACCTCTTCCTACTTTTTTTCTGGAGAATCTGTGACTTTAGATGGACACTCAGCCCAGGGGACTTCTGGCTGACTTGGGGCATCCCCACCTGTCCTGGCACCTGGAGGACACCTCGAGGCTGGCCTGGCTCTCTGCCAGCCAGCCATGGCCCAAGTGAGAGGCTTGTTGGGAGGCCCTTCCCTTATAAGGACAACAACTCAGCTGTGATGAAACTTCTCGGCCTCCCAGCTGGGTGGGCGGGGGAAGGGAAATGACGGGCTCCAACGGCTACAGCTGAGCTTGAGCCTGGGCAGGAACTCGCCCACGAGCCTCCCCTCTCCCCTTCCTGTGTCAGCGCTCAGCGGGGTTTTCCAGAGGGTCTCACTGGCGGGAGGGGGGAGGAGGAGCCTGGGAGGCTAGAGTGGGTGGCCCTCGGAAGGGAAGATTTGTAAACTGAGGCCGAGAGGGGGGACAGGACCCTTGTAGGTCCGGCAGGAAGCACAGAGTCTAGACCCCAAGTCCTAGGCCTATCTATCCCCTGCTCCACCTGCAGACAGGTCAGGACCATACGAGGGCCAGTAAGGAGGCGACAGGAGGCTCTTGGACATCTTCTCTCTCTCTCTTTGGACCTCTAAGGTCAAGTCACACAGGGGAGAGGGCGTGGGTGGGGGCTGGTTGGCTCGCAGCGCAGCGTGACCCTATCCTCCTCCTCCCATAGCTGTGTCCCTAGTGTACTGCCCTCTCCCACAAAATTCACCAGCCCACCGTCCATCTGAGAAACTAATCATGGGATCACAGGATATCAGGACTGATAAGGATCTTTGAGACCATTTAGTCCCTCCTGCTGGTTTTAGAGAGGAAGAAGTAACAGCTCAGAGGGAGGACCTGAACTTGCCCACCTGTTTTGTAAAAAATAAAATTAAAAATGTATATATAGAAAATGGGGAGGGGGAGGGGCATTTCCACATCCAGGTCTGGTTAGCCCTGGGGATCGATCGGTACTTCCCTAGAGACCACGTCTGGGGTTGGCAATGGGTTCAGGCCACATCCCAAGGGAGAACCAAGTGTGGCAGATGGAGAATCAGTCTCGGACACTGCTGTGCACAAACTGTGTGACCTGAAGCAGCTGCTCAGCCTCTCTGAATCTCAGTCTCATCTCTCCCAGCAGAGTGATTTTGAGGATAAAATGAGATAATTTAGATAAAGCACCTAGCTCAGGGCCTGGCACAGAGTAGGGGCTTAGTAAATGGGTAACAACATTGTGTGGGGGGCACCTACTCTGTGCCAACATGACATTAGGTGCTGCAGATTCCAAGTACAGTAAAATGGGACCTCTTCCTGAGATGCTCACTGCCAGTCGGGGAGACAGACATCCCGACTCAGTGACCATCCCGACTCAGTGAACGCAGTGGGATAAGCACTAAGTTAGATAAGGCAAGTTTGCAGCAGCACAGAGCAGAGATCAACAGGCTGCTTTGCTGGGGGAATCAGGCAAGGCCTCTTGGAGGAGGTGACATTTGCCTGAGCCTTGAAGCAGGAGTAAGAGTTTACCAAACAGGAGTGGGGGAGGGCATTTAAGACAGAGGGCACAGTGTGTGCAAAACAGAGAATCACAGGATGTTTCTGGAGCTGTGGGAAATTCTTTGTGTAGTATCCTGTAAGGGGAGGTGCTGAGGGAGGGGTGGGGGACTGAGAGAAGAGGTGGCAGAAGGCAGGGGATCGTGATGTTCACCCAGGAATCTTGGATTTTGTTCTAGAGACCAAAGGGAGTCAAGGGAGTCTTTTAAAGAGGGACAGGCCTCCCAGGGACAGGCCGTGGGCTGGAGACTGGAGGCAGGGAGACCAGTTAGGAGGTGGTTGCAATGGACCAGGTGTGGAGTGGTGAGGGCCTGAGCTGGGACAGGGACATTGGGGGTGGAGTGGAGGAGTAGGTTCTTTTTAGGAGGCAGAATGGGGGCTTTGGGGTCTCGTGGATGTGGGAGAGATGGAGTAGGTGGAAAGGAAATCAGAAATGACTCTGGGGGTGCTGGGGGTATGGAGGTGCCCTTTCCTGAGATGGAGAGCACCAGGGGAGAGACAGGGTGGGGAGAGGATAGCAACTGTGTGGAGGGGTCTGGTGAGCTACTAGAACTTGGCTGGGGCAAATCTGAAGGTCACAGGCATCTAGATGGTGGGTGATTGAAGCCACAAGAATGGCAGAGTTATATCTTATATGTTACTTAGGATTAGATTTGACTGATTGACAAAAGGCCATGGTGTCAGGAGAGTTCATCAGAGGCTGAAATGTGGGCTCTGGGGGAGTTAGGCCCAGATAACAGTGACATGAGTTCATTTCTCTCTTGTATGAGATAAGTCTGG